TTGAGCGGCTCAACATCCAACCAATGTATACTGTCTATAGGTACCTACTGAAACAATCTTTATTATCATACCTGTATAACAAATAATTGTGCAGGGTGTATAATTTGAATTTCAAGGTCGAACCACCACAGACGGGGCCTTATAGGGCTGATGTTCAGCCGGGGTTGCGGGGCAAGCGCAATGAGGCACTGCAGCCTCGGCCCAGAGTAGGAGAAGGAACAGGGGTGTTTTGTCAGTAAGACTCTGACACTATCTCTCGCCTCACCCTAGGCATAAGAAGTCATTAGATGATTTACCCGTCACAAAAAAAAAACAACAAAAAAAACTTTTTCGCTTCTCGCCGACATACCTATTTGAAGTTATTGAGGGTTATGTTAACTTTTTTCGGTGGTTGACGTCCTTTTTTTATGAGGGGAAAATCATCAAATGACTTCTCATGCCCACGGTGAGGCGAGAGAGAGTGTCAGACTCTTTCTTTTTCCTTCTGCTGCACTGGGCCGAAGCCGCGGTGCCTCATTGCGCTTACCCCGCAACCTCGGCTGGGCAATAGACGTCTTGCGGCTGGTATAATGATGGTATGTCAGGAAAATTATAATACTTATACTTCTGTATAGTAGGCCTAAATAAATGTAGGCAAATTTAATTGTATTATATATACTTATATTATATAGATATATATTTGTGAGGTAATAAAAAAGCTTGAAAAAGGTATTTAGATACCTACCCACTCATTTTTTGTAATTTAATTTTAAAACTATGATTGAAAAGAATGTGATATCTATTTCTTGAACTGTATTTTTTGGTGATTTATATACCTATAATGTATGTATATACAGACCTACCTATATACTTATCTACGAGTACATTATAAAAATATTCTGTAAATATGAACTTATAATGATATGTAGGTACCTAGGTACTCCTATACTTAGACAGTAATCGATGACTGTCCCTTTGCTAGGCAATGGTCCATTGGTATAGGTAATTTACTAAATGAAAACAATATTGGCATATCTCTGTATCTTAAAGTGGTCTAAAAAATATATATCAAAATGTTTACAATCAAAGATATATACATACCTATTGTATGTATTTTAAACGACCTTCTCTTTATTTATTTTTTTATAACTTTCGTGAGACATTCTAAATTATTTATTATGTTTTCGGCTTACTCACATAATAATTTGACGAGATACTCGACTCGTTTCAAGCCATGCAGCGTGACAGTCGCCGAGTCGCGTGTCGCGGAATGCTGCTCATGAATATAGGCCTCTAGCATGGCTTGAAACTAGTCGAGTATCTCGTCAAATTATTACGTGAGTAAGCCGAAAACATAATAATTGACCTCTCTTTAATTTAAAGGGCATATCAAGATTGTTAACCTTTAGTTACCCACCTAAACCGATTGACCATAACTGCCTTTGTACATAATAATATTGTCACTACAAGTTCAAATTAGATTGGTGATTCCATATTATTTGTACCTATAGATACGTGTATATTCTTCATACATTTTCTTATATCAATGGAGTCCAAATTAAAATGAAAAAAGTACAATAATGTAAAAAAAAAATTTCAAAATTAATCTTTGTAAATGTGTATTGTCTGATTATAAAGTATGAATTAAGTACAGGGTTTAGATAAGGTGTCAGATTCACCTGACAACCGATCTAAATTGTTTCTATACCTAAAAAGTCCAATAATGAAAACGAAGGATGTCAATTGCATGCTATTTATATAATTAAACGTTATAAATAAAATTTACAATTGATGTCACACACTAGTAGCTGAAAAATAATGCTTTAATATATTATATATGCTATTATTGTGACGCACAAAAAAGTGCAAATTTTAATATTAATTATTTTCATCTGTCCATTATTTTTATTAAGTAATCTGTACTCCTTCAAAAAGGAATGTAAATAAAAAAATGGTTGTTGTGATTACATTGTATGTCTTAAGGATAGAATTTTGACCCCAAAGATTGTGAAGAATATATATCCAATTATATGGTGTGGTAACCCCCAAATAGTGGGGAGATATTTATTCAAAATGAACTTACCTAGTTTTAGATAAATTGTTTATCATTGACAAGGTGACAATACAATTTAACCCCAATTCAAAGGGTAATTAGTAGATATATGTACTCCTTAATAAAGAAGATTTTAAAAGGGATGATTTCATTGTTAAAAAATATTTATTAAAACATTATAGTAGGTTCAAACTATATGTATCTGAGGTGTCAAAAATAATTTTTAACAAAAAGACAAACCGACTTCAAAAAGTAAACTAAAAAGCAAAAAATAAATTTACTTTGTTCAAAGTAATACATATTTTCATTTAGTTAAATAGAAAATAATATTTAATAACTATTTTATAATCTTAAAGACGGTGCCAAATAAAACTATAACAGTGTAAAGATATTACCTACATACCTCTTGCTAGTTTGATGATTAGTAGGTAGGTAGGTTGTTTGGTATGTAGTATTTACTTGGCACCGACTACATCCTCCTTTTTGGAAGTCGGTTAAAAAGAAAAAGGATGTCAACTTGTAGCGAGCATATACTTATTGCGAACTGACTGTTACAATGATTATCTTACCTAAATGTGGGAGAGCCATGGTTCGTCACGAACAGGTTAGCTCGACCTGATTAATGCCACGGCGTCATAGAAAACCGGCGTGAAACAACCACAGCGTTGTTTCACTGCGCGAGTAAAGTTGTTGGATGCCCAATACTTCCTCTTTCTCCATCCCTGCCTTAACCCTAGATCTTCGAAACCCTAATCCCCAAAAGTCGGGCAAAGCACTCGTAACTCACGTTTAGCGAGTGCTCGTGGGCGCCGCAGATTGCTTACCATCTGGTAATCAGTCAGCTCGTTGGAAATACTTTCACTTTACTTACTTTTTTAAGTGTAGGAGTGCCAAGTTCCTCACAAGGGCCTCACAGAAAACCGGCGTGAAATAACCACAGCGTTGTGTTTGTCCGTATGAGTAAGGTTACCGGAGGCCCAATCTTTCCCTCCCTCGATCCCTCCCCAATCCCTTAATTTCCAAAATCCTAATCCCTTAAAGGCAACGCACTCGTAACTCCTCCGCTGCGAGTGTCTGTGGGCGCCGAAGATTGGTTACCATTAGGGCATCAGGTAATCAGTCAGTTCGTTGGAAATACTTACAAAATACGTACACTTAAAAAAAACTAGAGTGAGGACCTATTAAATCGTCCAATCACAGTAAAAGTTAAAAATTGAGTAAGTATTTAAAATGTTAAACACTAGGAATTAATTATTGGACTCGAAAGTACTTTACGCTACATTGTCGCCATCTAGTGTCAGTTACGTTAAGATGGTAGCCATTTTTCGATTATATGTATGTATATCCATAACTTACTTTGGCTTCTATGTCTTTCGGCCTCTATAGGTACATAAATATTAAATACTGATTATACACATTTTTAACTCTTTAATCATCCCTCAAAATTTCTTAATATATGTATATTAAAATTATAACTCTATAGGTTTTATCGACTGTCGTATTCAAATTTATTGATTGGTTAAAATAAAGTATATACCAATCATTTAGAAATTATAAGCCTACGTTTTCTCACGATGTTTCAATTTACCTTATGTCAGTGGTGTCTAAATATAGTTTATTACTTATAAAAAGTACATAATAATTCAGAAAAGTAGGTACACTGTACTATTACCAGATTTTGAACCCTTATGCATGAGAAGCGGCCAATCTAACCACCGGGTCATCACGTAAATTAATGTTCCACAAAAGACGCACAGTATTATGACGTCAACTTTATGTAGCGTTATCTCTTCCTCACGGATCTGCCGTCCTTGTCTACTTGCTCTGACAGATATCACGTGTGTTTAGTGACAGAGACAGCGCTATATTCTAAATACAGCTATCTCACTCTTTTGTATATGTGCGTTATTTATTATGGTTGACCAAGAGATTTTGGACAATTGATTTTTAACTTTATGTAATTGTGTAATAATGTCTAGAATTCTATACCTCTCTATGAAAAAAGGAAACGAATTTATTTTATTATTTTTATTTAAAAAGTACATATTTATACCTAATGTAAATAAATCGGTGTACATTGTAACAATGTTATTTCAAATTTATTTTGTTTAACAACAATTAAATGTCAAACATAGGTAAGTATACTTTTGTTTTATTAAACCCTTTTTTCTTTTTAAAACACTATTAGTGTGGAAGAGGCAAACATAGGTACGAATGGGGCAGTTCGACCGGAGTGATACCACGGCCTTATAAAAAAACTGACGTGAAACAACCACAACGTTGTGTTTTGCCGTGTGAGTGAGGACAACTCCTACCAATTCCCCAATCCCCGAATCTCCACATGTCCCCAAAAAGCTGGCAACGCACTCGTAATTCCTCTGCTGTTGCGGGTGTCCACGGGCGGGATTGACAACAGGGTCATTAGAAAAACACAAATTCAGATTTAAAATAATATTATATTTCTTCAAAATAAAAATATAACAATTTCATATCACAAATAATATTATAACATAATATGAGTCAAGCGTTAATGGCATAAAATAAGTTTTTAAATTCAAATCACAGACCCTAGCATAAAATATATTTGTAAAACAATAAATATTGTATTATATAAATAATTCAATATGCAAGATTTACAATAAAAAAAAATTGCAAACCTTACTCCATTGCACCATCATTTTATGGTATCCCAGTTCCTCTTGCTTCGCACCATGGCCTCGACTGAAGCCGGGATGGAGGGAACGGGCGGGCAGACTCTCACTGGCTAAAAAACCTCATGTTCCTTCTCCTGCTCTAGGCCGAGGCCGCGGTGCCTCATTGCGCTTACCCCGCAACCCCGGCTGAACATCAGCCCTATAGGGCCCCGTCTGTGGTGGTCTATTGGCTCTTTTAGGCGACCTACCCTTACTCGCCGTTCGCAGACCCGAGGGGACTAAGGGGTAAAGTCAGGACTTTGCTCCCAAGACGTGGCCTATGTTCAGTAATGACGAAACTACCCTGATTCTACATAGATTTGCTAGCAGCGTGATGTATGGCTCGCGCATGTGCAGATAACGCAGTACTCTGCGCAAATCTAGCGTTACAGATGTTACACACGTGAGGTTTCTCGCCCGTATGAGTGCGGAGGTGGTTCGTCAGTATTTTGTTAGTCTGAAAGAGAAATATATAATAGAAAATCTATACTAATTTTATATTATAAAGAGGTAAAAATTGTAAGTTTGTATGTAGGGGGTAATCTTTGGAGCCACTGGTCGGATTGCTAAAATTCTTTCACTGATAGATAGCTACAACGTTCCTGAGTGCCATAGGCTATAAAAAATTACGCTACAATTAAATGAAGCCGAGCAGCGGGTGAAACCGCGCGAGAGTAGCTAGTTTTCTATAAATCAATATATACATATGTACGTAAGAATGTTGTATAGAAGAGACAAGCTTCGAGGCACGATTTGACCGGCTCTACCGGAGTGATACCACGGCCTCACAGAAAACCGGCGGGAAACAACCACAGCGTTGTGTTTCGCCATGTGAGTGAGGTTACCGGAGGCCCTATCCCTCCCCCTACCCCCATCCCAACCGATCCTTAAGTATCCGAAACCCTTATTCCTGAAAGGTCGGCAACGCACTCGTAACTCCTTTGTTATTGCTCATGTCTATGGGCGACGTTGATTGCTTACCATCAGGTAATCCGTCTGCTCGTTTGCCGACCTATACTTACCATAAAAAAGTACCTGAGTAAGTGTTGGTAAGTTTTTACAGAGGATGAGCAAAAGATACTAAAGGTACTGATAGAAATAAAATCCTATTAAGCGAAGGCTGGCAACACTAGTCCTACGCCATTTTAACGCGCTTACCCCCTCTATAAGTCGGAGCTGTCAGATAAAAAAAAATAGGTAAAAAAACTTTTTAAGTTAAACGGTTTTATGTTTGCATTGCAATGTTTAAGATAAATGTACTAAACACCAACAAATAATAAAATAGAAACAGTCGTGGGAATTATAAACATATGCATAGACTAGACTAAAATAAAACCGTGGGGCACGTCAATTGTGTACAATCGTTATTAAAATGTTTGTTTTGTAATGTGCAATAGATAATTAGGCAGTTGTACAACTGTCAACGATGGACTTGTTATAAGTAGCGCTAGAATGTGGAAACGAGTTTTAGGGTTTCATAGTCGTGAGCGAGTAGTACGTTTATTATATTTACATGGAGTGTATAACTATTGGAATTTCCATGAGCAAGAAAATAGTAAGTAATTTCCTCACCGTCTGCAGGGCAACTGCCTAACGACGAATTAAACGATTCTTCTATCGCACATTAAGTCGATAATTTGTAGACAATTGACGTACCCCACGGTTTTATTTTAGTCTAGTCTATGCATATGTTTATAATTCCCACGACTGTTTCTATTTTATTATTTGTTGGTGTTTAGTACATTTATCTTAAACATTGCAATGCAAACATAAAACCGTTTAACTTAAAAAGTTTTTTTACCTATTTTTATTTTCTAGTTTTTAGTTTTTATTTCGCATTCTGTTTGATTCATTTAGTGCTTCATTATTGCAAGGTTTCTTGCCCGTTAATGTATTGCAGTCCAACTCCTCTATACGTAGTCTCTGCAAAGATCTTACTCCACTCAGAGCCACCTGATTGTTCCCGTCGTTTCTGTAATCGACTATTTACATCACCTTCACTTTCTTTTTCTCGTTTTGCTTTATACTTTTCTTTCGCTTTTTGAAGCCTTTGTTTACGTTGTGTTGCAGTTTCTGTTTAATTTGTTTTTTTTTTATTGATTATAGGTTTGCGCTTGACCGCTATCTCACCTGATGGAAAGCGACGATGCGGTCGACGATGGAGCGCACTTACCTAGAAGTAACCTATTCACTCTTGACTTAAAGATACCCGGATTGTAGCTATCAGGAAACACCGACTCCGGCAAGGAATTCCACTCCTTGGCTGTACGCATAATGAATGTGCTCCCAAAACGTTTTGTACGTATATGTGGGACATCCACCATGTACCGGTGGCGCAATGCCGTACGTCTGGTGGTCTGATGATGGAACGGGCTAAGCGGAATTAAATTATGTAATTCCGACGCACACTCCCCGAAATAAAACCGGTAGAAAACCGACAGGCTAGGAACTCGGCGTCGATGCTCAAGACTTTGAAGTCTCGACTCGACAAGTGCATCATCGCCAATGATCCTCTTGGCTTGCCCCTCAATAGACTCAAGCGCATAATGTTGGTATCGGGCAGATCAGTCCCAAAGATGAGAGCAGTACTCCATAACCGATCAAACTTGCGCCTGATAAAGTTTAAACAGCTGTTCCGGCGTGAAGTATTGTCTAACCCGTGCAAGGAGTGTGGGAGAGCCATGCTTCGGCACGAATGGGTCGGCTCGACCGGAGTGATACCACGGCCTCCCAGAAAACCGGCGTGAAACAACCACAGCGTTGTGTTTCGCCGTGTGAGTGAGGTTACCGGAGGCCTAATCCTTCCCCTTCCCGGACCCTTCCCCAATCCCTAAATCTCCAAATCCCTAATCCCTAAGAGGTCGGCAACGCACTCGTAACTCCTCCGTTGCGGGTGTCCATGGGCGGCGTTGATTGCTTACCATCAGGTAATCCGTCTGCTCGTCTGCTGCTCGCCAGTTGAGGTTTTGCTTCGCTGTATGGCCCAAAATTGAGAGTAAATGTCAGCGTTATACCAATAAGATCAAGATGGTCAGTTATCAGCACGGATACACCCCGAAAAGTTGGAGCAGGACTAAATTGACTCCTTTTAGCGGAAAATAGACACGCTTGAGTTTTAGCTGCATTGAACCTGACCATGTTGGCATCGCCCCATTCAGAGACAGCCTCCAAGGGCAAGTTCAAGTGCCCAACCATAGCCTCTCGAAGAGCCTGGATCTGTGACCCACTGGCTAGTGCGCCGGATGTGTAGCTCTCAGCAACAGTGCTGTCGTCTGCATACCCAAAGAGACCGGGCTTAAGCAGGTCGTGTATGTGCAAAAAAAAACAATGTTGCCTAGAGCACTGACCCCTGAGGGACCCCAGCATTGATGGTCATTTGACTCGACGAACAACCATCGATGACCACACGGATGGACCGGTCCCTCAGAAAGTCTGCGATCCAAACACACAATCCAGTAGGTAAACCGAATGAAGGAAGGCTTTCGTGTCATATCCTATCGAAAGCCTTCGAGATGTCAAGGGAGACGACAAGCGCTTCCCCGTGTTTCTCGATGGCCTCGCTCCAGATGTGGATGGCATACGCTAGAAGATCACCTGTTGACCGATTCCGGCGAAATCCGTATTGTCGGTCACTTAAGATGTGATTGGCTTCTAGGTATGCCAGCAGCTTCATGTTCAATACACATTCCATTGTCTTACAGAGAATGGACGTTACTAAGATTTGTGTTTGTATTTTTTTCATTTTTTTTTTAACAATTTGTTGCTATGAGTAATGGATATTGAAATTTTCGACCCCAGAAGTCCAATAAAGGGGCAAGGCTATGTAAAACAAGATGCGCCTGAGTCTTGAGGGGAAAACGGTAACGACATATCATTTTTATCCACCCTAATGCCATACAGTTCTCGGTGCGTTTTTACTTTTAACTTGGGTGGTATACCGATAACGACGTATCATTTTTAGCAACCCTAACGCCACACAGTCCTCGACACGATACAAAGTCTTGAGACGTGGGTGGTGGATTCAGGCTGGATTAATCAGATACCTTTTTTATGTGATAGGACGGCAAACGAGCATACGGATTACCTGATGGTAAGCAATCAGCGTCGCCCATGGACACCCGCAACAAAGAAGGAGTTACAGATGCGTTGCCGACCTTTTAGGGATTGGGAAGGGATAGGGCCTCCGGTAACCTCACTCACACGGCGAAACACAACGTTGTGGTTGTTTCACGCCGGTTTTCTGTGAGGCCGTGGTATAACTCCGGTCGAGCCGACCCATCCGTGCCGAAGCATGGCTCTCCCAAACTTAAATATAAATAAATTATACCAAAATTACAGATTCAATTTCTAATTTTAAATCTTATTATTATACGCCATTTAGTGGCTGCGCCCATCTTAAATATTGAGGTTGTATAGTGCACTGTATTCTTCTTGTCAAGCCCTTTTATTTGATACCCATATTTATGGGATTGATAAAAAATTGTTATCAGCCATTTGGTAGCGGCAGCCATCTTAGATTTCAATTTTGCATAGTAAATTGTATTCGCATTGTTGAGCCCTTTCATTTGATACCCATATTGATTAGATTGATAAAACCCACGTTATCCGCCATTTTGTAGCGGCCGCCATCTTGGATTTTAATTTTTTAAAGTGCATTTTATTCTACTTGTTGAGCACTTTCATTTGATACCCATATTGATGGGATTGATAAAACCTACGTTATCCGCCATTTTGTAGCGGCCGCCATCTTGGATTTAAATTGTTTATAGTAGCTATATTGTATTCTGCTCGTTGAGCCCTTTCATTTGATACTCATATTGATGGGATTGATAAAACCCACGTTACCCGCCATTTTGTAGCGGCCGCCATCTTGGATTTTAATTTTTTATAGTACATTGTATTCTACTCGTTGAGCACTTTCATTTGATACCCATATTGATGGGATTGATAAAACCTGCGTTATCCGCCATTTTGTAGCGGCCGCCATCTTGGATTTAAATTGTTTATAGTAGCTATATTGTATTCTGCTCGTTGAGCCCTTTCATTTGATACTCATATTGATGGGATTGATAAAACCCACGTTACCCGCCATTTTGTAGCGGCCGCCATCTTGGATTTTAATTTTTTATAGTACATTGTATTCTACTCGTTGAGCACTTTCATTTGATACCCATATTGATTAGATTGATAAAACCCACGTTATCCGCCATTTTGTAGCGGCCGCCATCTTGGATTTTAATTTTTTATAGTGCATTTTATTCTACTTGTTGAGCACTTTCATTTGATACCCATATTGATGGGATTGATAAAACCTACGTTATCCGCCATTTTGTAGCGGCCGCCATCTTGGATTTAAATTGTTTATAGTAGCTATATTGTATTCTGCTCGTTGAGCCCTTTCATTTGATACTCATATTGATGGGATTGATAAAACCCACGTTACCCGCCATTTTGTAGCGGCCGCCATCTTGGATTTTAATTTTTTATAGTACATTGTATTCTACTCGTTGAGCACTTTCATTTGATACCCATATTGATGGGATTGATAAAACCTGCGTTATCCGCCATTTTGTAGCGGCCGCCATCTTGGATTTAAATTGTTTATAGTAGCTATATTGTATTCTGCTCGTTGAGCCCTTTCATTTGATACTCATATTGATGGGATTGATAAAACCCACGTTACCCGCCATTTTGTAGCGGCCGCCATCTTGGATTTTAATTTTTTATAGTACATTGTATTCTACTCGTTGAGCACTTTCATTTGATACCCATATTGATGGGATTGATAAAACCTGCGTTATCCGCCATTTTGTAGTGGCCGCCATCTTGGATTTAAATTGTTTATAGTAGCTATATTGTATTCTGCTCGTTGAGCCCTTTCATTTGATACCCATATTGATGGGATTGATAAAACCTACGTTATCCGCCATTTTGTAGCGGCCGCCATTTTGGATTTATAATTGTTATGATTACACATAATTGTATTGTCACCAAAAGCAAAAGTGTATACAAAATTTCAGATTAATCGGTTGACAGGAAGAGGGTGAAATTTGAATTACTAAATTTGACCCAAGAAAGAATAAAGGTGAGCTAAATAAAACCGTTTAAAAAACTGTTTCGCGCGCTTTTGTACCTACAGTAAATCCGATTTCTCAAATTATATGTCTACTAGCTTTTGCCCGCGACTTTGTTCGCTTGGAACAGTGACTTCCTGCACATTTGTGGTTAAAAAACTATCCTAAGTCTTTTCTCGAGTTCCAAACTACGTCTGTACCTACCAAATTTACGTCCATTCTCGAGTTCCAAACTATATCTGTACCAAATATCACATAAATAGGTTCAGTAGTTTAGGCGTTAAGAAAAGACAGACAGACAGATAGAGTTAGTTTCGCATTTATAATAATAGTTTTTTTTTACTTGCTATAAACTAGTGCTTGACTGTGATCCCACCTGATGGTAAGCAGTGATGCAATCGTTGATGGTAAGGCGCACTAGTTTATTAAGAGTCTATTTACTCTAGCCTTGAAGACACCTAAATTATATTTGGACGGAAAGACTGCAGCCGGCAAACTGTTTGGATTTATTTATTTGTGTTTTACATTTAAAGTACTTACAGTAAACCCACGTCCGCATATGTAGCACATTTTATTTTTTGGCGGCAATATACCTTCGTGAATTCTTCTTGTGTGTTTAACTAGATCGGCATTACGGATAAAGTTCTGTAACAAGAAATATCTTGTTTGGTTTTTTGTAGGAAGAATGTAAACATTGCCCTTGTCACAATTAAAAAAATATATGTAGTACCGTTTTTGGTCACCTTCCGCGCCACTGTCTAATTAATCTTTTTAAGCATGTCATAACGTCATTGCATTTTTTCTATTTATTATTATTTATATTTACTAATATTATAAAAAGTTCGGGTTACTTTGACCCTGGGAGGTAACTTTGATCCAAATTTTCGAACAAATGAAAAACGAATATAATAACTGAGAACCAAACATATAGTTTGGTAATTGGTTAAAGGGTGTTGATCAAAGTTACCCGAACTTACCCGGTAAGTCAAAAAAGAAAAAATAACTCGACGTTTCAATACATTAAAATATTGAAAAATAACTATACTTTTGTTCATCGATATGACGTCATAACTCAGTTTTTTATACAAATTTCATAGAAAAGTATCGTTTTAGACTTTTGATAAAAGTATTGAATTTGACTAGTTGGAAACTACCGCATTGGATTATTATAAGATTGAAATCGCCAATTGGCCTTGAGCCAAGCGTAGTGATAAGTGCTCAAACCTTCTCCGTATGAGAAGAAAAGAAGTCTTTGCTAATCAGTAGGCATTTATGGGCTGATGATGATGATGATGGTGATTATAAACAGATAATCATACCTTATCACACTGCTCGCAGCGATACTTGTAACACTTCAAATGGACCAAGTTATAATGGTCTTTCATATAGATATTCTTCGAAAAGATCTTGTCACAACCAGGACATGGGATCCTGAAAGAGAAGAAACAATTTTATGATACACTTTTAAGAATGCAACTTGTCTATACTAATATTATAAAGAGGTCAAATTTGCAAGTTTGTATGTAGGGGGTAATCTTTGGAACCGCTGATCGGATTGCCAAAATTATTTCACTGATAGTTTTTTTTTGTCAGGGGAAAATCATCAATTGACTTCTCCCGCCCAGAGTAAGGCGAGACAGAGAGGCCGCAGTGCCTCATTGCGCTTACCCCGCAACCCCGGCTGAACATCAGCCCTATAGGGTCCCGTCTGTGGTGGTCTATTGGCTCTTTGAGGCGCGCGCGGAACGCTACGCGCCGTACGCTCGGGACTAATAGATAGTTACAATGTTACTGAGTGCTATAGGCTAAATTATACTTGAGTTTCATATGTAGTCCGGCTATCGATTTAAACGCTTGTTTTTTAAATTCCTGGGATTTTTATCCGCGTGGAAAGCGAGAAACAAGCACTGCGTTGTGTTTCGCCATGTGAGTGAGATTACCGGAGGCCCAATCCCTCCCCCTCTCCACGTTCCTTCCAAATTCTTATCCCCAAAATGCCGGCAACGCACTCGTAACTCCTTTGGTGTTGCGGTTGTTATGGGCGGCGGCGATTGCTTACCATCAGGTAATCCGTCTTATCTCATGAAAAAACACGTTTTCCGTCCCGTGGTCTCCACTCGAGTACTTTTTGGGCCCATCGGCCGTCCGTACTTCGAGCGACGTGGCCATTGCCACTTCAGACTTAACTTATTTCACTTATTGAATTTATAATACTAGAAGAAGAAAACTTACCTATGTTTTTTATGTTTCGTGTGCTTCGTACTGTTAGCTATGTGCCAGCGATACCTATATATGTCCCTGTACTGTCGATCGCACTCCACGCAGTAAGCCGTATTATGTACCATATGCGTTGTTTTATTGTGTAACCAGAGTCCATTGTATCGCGCCCATTTCTTGTTGCACGGCTTACATTCGAAGGGAGAATGTTGTTTTCTGTAAATTAGTTTAAAAATGTTTTTATAATAACTATCGTGAGACATACTAAATTAACTAAAAATCGCGGGTTACTCACGTGTGTAAATTGAGAAAAGCTCTACTAGTTTCGAACCACAGAGAAAGTAGGCTGCGCGACGTCGCCGCGTCCGCGCACGCTGCTCATGAGGAAGAACCCCTCTGTGGTTCGAAACTAGTAGAGCTTTTCTCAATTTACACACGTGAGTAACCCGCGATTTTTAGTTAATTTAGTTTAAAAATATTTAACTAATTTGGAATTGGATTTATACATCGAACAAAGCACAAAGTACGTATTATTGGATTTTGTCTACGCTGGAACGCATCACTCTTCGTCGTGTATGGAACGCACCCGTAGCGCGAGCGAGAGGTCCGAGCTGCGCTCCTTCCGGCCACTGCCATTCGAATAGTCGCGACGAAAACACACTCAATTTTTGTAAAACTTATAATTAGTTTATATTACACAAAAGATTCAACCTACTTATTTATATCGTCCAGAGTTTTTGTAGGTATGTGTCTATAGTTTTAGGTTTACACTCACGAGATGGCGCTAGTGATGTTTTGATTTAGAAAACGAAAATAGTTAAAGCGAATTCTTGATTAAAGACATACAGTAATACGAACGCGCCAAATAACATTTTAACAATACGTATGATCAACGCAGGAAGTGAAAAAGTCAATGTGTGCCTCTTTTTTGTGAGCGGAAAATCATCAAATGACTTATCCCACCCAGGGTGGGTGGCAGTGTCAGACTCTTACTGACTAAAAAACCCAGTTCCTTTTCCTGCTCCAGGCCGCGGTGCTTCATTGCGCTTGCCCCGCAACCCCGGCTGAACTCCAGGGCCCGTGAAACGCTACGCGCCGTAAGCTTGGGACTAGTGCTGGTCGGGCGACGAGCTACCCTTACTCGCCGTCCGCAGATCCGCGCTATCGGTGACCGGAGATCGTCTCTCGATTTCTCTTCGTGCCGAAGCATGGCTCTCCCACACTTGTTAGTTGCTAATTAGTGTAAAAAAATTAAAATTTAGAAAACCCCCGACTAAACATCTAATATTCTTTTAAAAAGTAATAATTAAAGAAAACGTGGCTTTGAGGACCGATCCATACATTTTATTATCAACTACATATTTCTATTTTGTCGGGGGTCTAATTTATTTTTTTTATTTTGTACTTTTTATATAATTTTCTCTCGATTAAGTCATCAACATTCCCTTTCAATGCGCTTTCATTTGAGACCCCACTCGAGTATATTTGCAGACCTTCGGTTACCCTTCCCCACTTACTCCCCCATAACTTCTAAACGGCTCAACCGATTTTCGTCAAACATGTCTAAGAACACTACTTGCGAGTCACCTTTAATACAAAAAAAAAAACTAAATTGAAATCGCTTGACCCGTTCAGGCTCCAGGATGCCACAGACAGACAGACAGACAGGCAGACGCGTCAAACTTATAACACCCCTCTTTTTGCGTCGGGGGTTAAAAAAGCCTAATTACTACCTCGTAGCTATCGAAATTTAAATCTTATGACATACCTGATATGATCCTTAATGCAGTAGCGCATTTTGAAGTTGATGCCGCAATAATCACAAATGAATTTCTCATGCCAATCTTTGTAATGTTTGAAGAATTCCTTCCTACTTCTGAAATAATACCAATTTAAAGTAAGGTCAAAACTATAAGTATATATTTTTTAAGTTATTAGTATAAGACAGGTTTATGACGTCGAGCGCTCTGATTGGCCCGCTAAAATTGAAGCAACCAATCAGAAAGCTTAAAGCAAAAACGTCTTTATGCTGTGCTTAAATACAATGAAAATGATTGATCATAAATAGTATTGTTTTGTTAACTTTAAGCTAAAATTTTCTACACCTAGTAATTATTTTACTACTTCTTTAATACTCTCAAAGGGGATGAGTAATCCCCAAGAATGGAAGATTTAGCACTTTACAACGAACATGATGGTGACTAGGTATAATTTATTATTATGATGATAAAAATATTTATATGTAAAAAAGAAAATCGTGTTAGTTACACTTTTTATAAACCGATTTGGCTGAAAATTGGTAGGGAGGTAGGATAAGTAGGGTAGGTAGAGTAGGATAGGATGAAACGTGTAGGTAAGTTACTAGGTTGGGCAGTGCAGGTAGTCAAATGACAAGAGCAAAGCCGCGGGTAAGAGCTAGTTAAAAACAATTCTTACCCAAACTTCAGTTTACATTTCACACACTGAAACAACCTTCTATGTAGTTTCTGTGTATGGGAATCTCTATGTGTTATATTATAGCATATATATGCACAAATGTTACATACAAATTTTCTGTAATGGCGCCTTATGTGTACAGAGAGCTGTCTCATCGATTTGAAGTTGGATGTACATATATCACAGATGTATTGAGTTACCTGTAAATAATAATAATAAACTTAATCAATATTGGTCAGGGGCAGGAGCCATAGTATTTCCATAGTTATCATATCCACCAGTCCATAGCAACCCATACCTATAACCCTATCAATTTTTACCACATTTCAAAATAGTCCTGCATCAACCGGGGATTGTCCTTGGGTGCACTTGTATAGTGCATACAGGGATAATTGCCGGCTGATGTCCCATCACATTTAGATTAAAACTGTTCAACGGGCCTCTGCGAGTTGGCTTCGGCTCCTCGTACGCCTTCCAAAGGTCCGGGACCCTGTAGTCCCGTGAAAGGAAAGAATAAACTTATACTTAAATAAAAAGTTGCAGGTATGTCGAGGGTACAACCATGGTAGGTTGGCGAAGAAATAATACCGTAATTTACAACAAGTCAAATTCAATACTTTTATCCAAACGTCAAAAACGATACTTTTCTATGAAATTTGTATGAAAAACTGAGCTATGACGTCATAACATTTTTGCGTCAAATAGCTTACTTATTTCACAATAATTAGCTTTAAAAAATCTAAAACTTGGTGTATCGATCGATCGATGAATAAAAGTATAGTTATTTTTCAATATTTTATTGCATTGAAACATCGAATTAATTTATTTTGACCTAGGTAACTACCCAATTGTCCAGGATGATGTTTTTGACTTAATATTCTATTGACTAAAAAACTTTGAAAATAAAACCTATTTTCTATTGTGCACCAGCTATTTACCAGTCACCATATTATATATCACATTCTTCTTTATATTTCAAAATTTTTCCAAATCACTCCAGGCGTCTCCGAGTAATCGGTGAACGACGAATTGAGAACCGCCTCCTTTTTGTAAGTCGGTTAAAAATGAATTTATCGCAATATAATTATGTTGGTAAGCGCATAACTCAAAAACGACTGGACTAAACTTAACAATTATTTTTTTGTTATGTTTGTTATTGTCAGGAGAAGGTTCTTATGAAAGAAAATTTTAGAAATATAGGGGCGTGATTTGGGAAACAGGCGAACTTTCGTCGTTAGCGAGGTAGTTTTAAGTGTGGGAGAGCCATGCTTCGGCACGAATGGGTCGGCTCGACCGGAGTGATACCACGGCCTCACAGAAAACCGACGTGAAATAACCACTGCGTTGTGTTTCGCCGTGTGAGTGAGGTTACCGGAGGCCCAATCCTTCCCCTTCCCCAATCCCTCCTCAATCCCTAAATCTCCAAATCCCTAAACCCTAAAAGGTCGGCAACGCACTCGTAACTCCTCCGTTGCGAGAGTCCATGGGCGGCGCTGATTGCTTACCATCAGGTAATCCGTCTGCTCGTTTGCCGAGCTATTACATAAAAAAAAAAGTTGGTGATCCGTGCGAAGCAGTGGGAGCCGCTAGTATGTAATACATATTTTTAACATACCTTATCATGAAACACATCATTATGTTTCGTTACACCATCTTCATTTTCAAACACCAGAACACAATTACCACATTTGAACCTCTTCGATTTAAAATATTCGCTGTCTCTTTCACTCTTAATACATTTCCTTACTTCGACATCATCTATCTGTACTCTTCTAAAACAGTTTTTGTCTTCCGTTATAATTTTAAATTTTGGTTTTTTATTTTGTAGCGCTCTCTTTTTAGCCCAACGATTGCTTTTCGGTTTCTTCTGCGGTTCTGAAAATTTGAAAACAATCCAAACTTGTATTATGCTAGCTACTCTCGCGTGGTTTCACCCTCTGCTCGCCTCCATTTAATCGTAGCGTGATGTTTTATAGCCTATAGCACTCAGGAACCTTCTAGCTATCTATCAGTGAAAGAATTTTGGCAATCCGGCCAGCGGTTCTAAAGATTACCCCCTACATACAAACTTACAAATGTTACCTCTTTATAATATTAGTATAGAAATGCGAAAGTAGCTCTATCTGTCTTTTCTTCACGGCTAAGCTACTGAACCTATTTGTGTTAAATTTGGTACAGACATAGTTTAAACCCGAGAAAGGGCATTGGATAGTTTTTAAACGAAAAATCTGCAGGAAGTCACTATTCCACGCGAAAAAGTCGGGGGCAAAAGCTAGTTAATTATTAAATTGACCATAACATGGTCATAAACGCGACTGCTAAACATGGGGGGAGGGGGGGAGGCTGTCAAGGCACAGCATTAAATTAATAGGTAAAGCATTAAATAAGTGTGGAAGGGCCAAGCTTCGACACTAATGGGTCGCCTCGACTTGAGTGAAACAGATTGGACCTGATGGTAAGCAATCGGAGCAGCCACGGCCTTAAAGAAAACCGTCGTGAAACAACTACAGCGTTGTGTTTTGCCGTGTGAGTGAGATTACCGGAGGCCCAATCCCTCCCCTTCCCGGACCCTTCCCCAATCCCTAAATCTCCAAATCCCTAATCCCAAAAAGGTCGGCAACGCACTCGTAACTCCTTTGTTTTATACTGTGTAGTCATTATGACATACCTGTATTTTCAACCACAATTTCCACTTTCAAATCCTCACCATGAACCTCTACCCCATCATCAGGAGGGCTCCTATCACCATTATCACCATTATCATCATCATCGCTATATCTTTCACACATCTTTGTATCCGTCTGTGTGTTGAACTCATTTATGTAAATCGTGTGTGGGTGCGAATCATTAAGAATTATGGTTGTTAGACTTGATTGTGAACCGAAGATGTAGCTCTGTAAAATTAATAATTATAATTAAATAAATATGTTCTTGAGTCTATATAAAAAAAAATGGGAATTTAAATGGATATGTAGGGGAGAGTCCGTTGTGAGTTGTGGTTGCACATGCAATAATGTAGCAAGAGAAGGAATGCCGTGGTTTTTAGTAAGAGACTTCTGACACTCCTACTCCACTCCACTTTCTCCTCTCATCGCTCCCAGGGATATAAAGATATTTTACCTTGCGGCTTAGAAATTGCAGTTAGGTCACGAAATATATTTGTTTATAAAATGCTGCCACCCATACCATGTTGGTTGTTGGAGAAGGACTGATGGTTAGTGCTTGATTGGAATGGACTGGAAAAGGTATTGTAAAGATATTGTGGGCAGTCCCCCATTAGGTAGATGTGGAGGCCTTTTTAAAATTTTTAATTTGAATTAATAATTAGTCAAGAAGAATGTCTCCTCACAATGTTTTCCTTCACCATATGTCAGTTGTGTCTGCCACATCAGCATCGGCCTTCATCATCATCATCATATCAGCCACAGGACGTCCACTGCTGAACATAGGCCTCCCCCATTGACTTCCAGATAGGCCGGTTGGAAGCGACCTGCATCCAGCGGCTTCCTGCGACCTTAATCAGTTCGTCTGTCCACCTTGCGGGTGGACGTCCTACGCTGCGCTTGCCGGTACGTGGCCTCCACACGAGAACCTTTCTGCCCCAGCGGCCGTCGCTTCTACGCGCTATGTGCCCTGCCCATTGCCACTTCAACTTACTAATCCGCTGGGCTATGTCGGAAACCTTTGTTCGTTTGCGGACATCCTCGTTTTTTATACGGTCTCGCAAAGAAACTCCGAGCATAGCCCTCTCCATAGCGCGCTGAGCGACCTTGAGCTTCTTTATAAGGCCCACAGCAAGAGACCACGTTTCATCGGCCTTACTAGGCTCTATTTGTGGTGGTCTATAGGCTCTTTGAAGCTTACTTACCTGACCCGACTGTAGCATTTCGTTAGCTTTTACAGCTTGTTGTTGAAACTTGACAGCTCTTTGGAGGAATGCACGACACTCCCAGCATAGTCTTATATTTTCTACGAGGATACTTTTCTGTAACATGAATACAATATTATTCTACATCAAGCGGTGTTCCAGGGGCAAGCACAATTATGCCCCAGCATTATCTATACTAATATTATAAAGAGGTGGCGGAGTACAAAATTCTTTCACTGATAGATAGCTACAATTCTGAGTGCTTTAGGCTATAAAACATCACGCTCGTATCTCAAGCTCAAGCTCAAGCTGCTGTGAAACCGCGCGAGAGTAGCTAGTACTTACTAAGCCTAAACTATAGCCCAAGCTACCATTAAAAACCACTAAAGGTGTCTCCAAAGATCACTCACTGCTCGGAATAGAAATCAAACATTAAAATAAAGACATTTAATTATGGAATGAAGATGTTATTTTCCGCATATGGCTGGCAACGCACTTGTTACTCCTGTGGTGTTATTTTTTCCATGGTCGACCCTGATTGCTTACCACCAGGTAATCCGCTAGACTGTTGGCCGTCCCTAGCACAAAAAAAAATTAACTTAAAGTTTAAAAAACTTACATAAACTGCCAATTCTGAAGTTAATTGTCTAAAAACAGTTTCATATTGTTGTAGAGGAGATAATCTCCTTCCAATACTTAAACAGACGGAACATTGATTCTCCGCATCAGAAGGTTCATATTTTATTTCAATTTCATCCATTATTTAGTTTTTAAGGACTTTTCAGTAAACTTTCATTGGTTTTTTATAAAGGTTTTGTAGATAAGTTCTTTTCTTTTATTCGTATACCTGTAAGTGTCTACAATATACATTTTTACACTAAGAATAGAATATGAAATAAATGTTTCATTTCATAAGTAATAAAATGTTTTGTTTTCTTTTTGCATGCACTGTGAAATTCTAATCAAATACAATCACAGCCAATGATCACAGCTGCTATTGTTGACATAGAAATTCCGTTTCATTCTAATTAGAATACAAGATCTTGCAATCCTCAACAAAAAGAAAATATCTATTACGAAAAATATAGATTAAATATTTTTGTAAGTTAATAATTAAATTATAAATGAAGTTGTTATCGTTGTATATTAATATTTATTACGTATGAATTTCTCTTTTCCATCTTTTCATCAAGAAAAAAACCGATATTATCGTTTTCTATCCGCTTGTCTACCAATACCAAAAGTGTACTACACTAGTTTCAAAATGGCATCGATTTGTTTTGTTGTATGTTTTTGAAATAAATGAAATAAAATCAGTGTTTTTATTACGCTTATGTTACAAACTTGGTAAATCATGAAGAAAACCATTATCTAAATCTTAAAAACAGATATTATCGCCTTTTGAGCCGAGGTTAAATTGGTTTTCATTCATAATTATTGTTTAAACTTAGTCGTTTAGTGAAAGTTGACAACAATCATGAACAAATGTTAAAGATTTCTCAATAAAATGGATATTAAAGAAGAACAGATATCTTATAAGTTGCTTTGCAATGCTTGCCTATGCGTTGGGAGGAAATTGCATAAAATAACTGATGAGAAAACACAAAAATACTACTTGAATGCGCTGGACGAAATTCCTGTAAGTAAAATTATTTTCTGTATATTTTTGGCGTTTATTATATGGCATAATTAAATCTATTGTGAAGACCAGAATATAAATTCAAAATATGAAAGACGATATTAAAACGGTTGCTATGTTTAAGTAATTTAAATCTTCGCATGATACTTTGGCTGTCTATCGTCTTTTTAAAATACCAGAGGATTCTTCGTGGTCAACGAAAAATAGTACCCTATATCACTTTTCAGCCCACTAACTATCTGCCGGGGTTGCGGGGTAAGCGGCCTCTATCTCGGCCCAGAGCAGGAGAAGGAACAGGGGGGTTTTTAGTCAGTAAGAGTCTGACTTTCCCTCCCGCCCGGCCCTGGGCAGGAGAAGTCATTTGATGATTTTTCCCTCTCAAAAAAAGCCCACTTACTATCTCCAGACACAAAAACCATCATAATAAAATAAAAAGCCATTGCAATTGACAAAGACATACAAATAAACATTCAAGTGTGGAAGTGTCATGTTTCGACCGGAGTGGTACCACCACTAAACACCGAAACCGAAAACTGGTGTGAAACACAAAAATCATAATCCCCAAAGGACCTGCAAGGCACTTGTAACTCTTCTGGTTTTGCTGGTTTGTGTGGCACTGCATAGCTTAACACTACACAATATGAATGGATAATTGACCATCACATAATTCAGTACTGCTTAAGGCTACCAAGTCCAATATCACCCACTGTTCTACCTGATGTTTGGCTCCTCTCGGTAGAGGATACAGAAATAAGGATTTATTCTATTCAAACTAGCAGTTCCAGGGATTAGTATGTTCACACAAACTATTAACTAAAAAGGATTTAATATAAGACTTCTTTTACTTTTTTTCAGTTGTACAATCCATCTTCAGTCAGTCTCCTGATATGCTGGGAGTGTAAAGCTCTGCTGGAGAAGAGTGTAGCTTTTAAGGAGCAGGTGCAGGATTCATACCGGATATTACAGACTTATACTCATGAGGTGAGACATTTTGTACTGCAAAAAATTTCTTGATTTTTCACCACCTTTCTACAGGCAGTTGTCTTATCCCTTATAATTGTGGCTAACTTTAGAACATTTTGTTTTATTTATTTCACAATGTTGATACATACATTTAAACAGAAGTGAACAATTGTTGACAGGTTGAGAGGTCCTGGACACGGTAATTAAATAACACAAGTAGTAAAAAACAGAAATCATATATTGACTGGCAAGCCTAACATTTAATTATTACCCTAGGTCCAAAATTTAATATGAATATACTCAGGTTATGCGCGCCTGTGGCTGGATCCTCTGGTGTCACTTGGTGTTCCGACAGCTAGTGTGCCTTCTATTACATTAAAATAGCTTCCTATTGTTAGGGTGCAGCAAACTAACTTACAACTAGAGTATAATTATTTCTCAATCAAAATTAATGCATTACTGCTTTGTACTTATTTCATTACATATGTTTTTATGTGATGAGGTTGCAAACAAGCTGAACTACGTCTCATGGTAGACTATCGACGCCACCCATGGACACCAGGACTAGGGATCATAGGGATGGTGTGAAGGCAAAGATTCGGCGTTCGGTAACCTCCCTTACATGGCGAAACACAACGTTCTGGTTGTTCCACACAGGTTTTTTTGTTAGGAAGTGGTATCAGTGGAACCGACCCATTCATGTAGAAGTTTGTATCCTCACAAAGATGAATCTATTCTGTAACTAGCTTTTGCCAGCGATTTCGTTTGCGTGGTATAGTTACTTCCTGCTGATTTGTGGTATAAAAACTATCCTGTCTTTTCTCGAGTTCCAAACTATGTCTGTACCAAACTTCACAGAAATTTGTTAACTAGTTTAATCGTGAAAAAAGACAGACAGACAGACTGACAGGGTTACTTTCCAATTTATAAGTTTGGATTAGTTTGGACTAGCTCTTACCCACTGCTTCGCTCTCGTCATTTGACTACCTAGTTACCTACCTACCCTACGCTACCTACACTAAATGTCCTATCTAACTAGCCTACGCTGCCTACCCTACTCTACCTACCCCACCTACTCTACTCTATCCTTTGTCCTTCTCTCAGTTTTTAGCTACCTCCCTACCAATTCTCAGCCAAATCGGTTCAGCCGTTCTTGAGTGATAAATAGTGTAACTAACACGACTTTCTATGAGCTGCGCTGATTGCTTACCATCAGGTAATCAGTGTGCTCGTTTGCCGACCTATCATATAAAAAAAAACTCGTCTTAAATACGCAAATCAATTAAAAGTTTATGGCATATCGCACTAAGGATCATGCATTATACATCTATCAGTGAAAGAATTTTGGAAATCCAACGAGCGTTTCCAAAGATTACGCCCTACATACAAACTTACAAATTACTATATTTTACCTCTTTATAATTTTAGTATAGATAAAGTTATAACACATGCTTTAAGTATTTAAATCTCTATTAAATTCCAGAATCTCCACGAATGCTTGCTATCTGACGTGAGCCGTCCGCCTCGCCTGAAACTCCACAAAACGGATCCAGTAAACATATTACCGTCAGAAGACTTGGAAACCTTTTCGGAACCTATTAATTGCCTTAAATATGAATTTAAAGAGGAATGGAGGGATAAAGGTAAGGAATGGAGAGGTTAATGTTTTTTTTTTAATTAATTTCTCTGAATTATATGTCAAGTTTTCACAAGTGTGACTATTGAGTTATTTAGGATTATTTTCGATTTCTCAAAAAGTTCTCAATAATAATAATAAAACAATCTGGAATTGCACTACGTATATGGCAGTCGACGATACGATAGTCTATAGCACAGGACTCGATTAGTTATAGTAGGTGCATACATGAATAGTTACATCATCAGCCGATAAGTGCCCTTTGCTGAGCAAAGACACACACGAAGAAGGTTTGAGCACTAATCACCACGCTTGCTCAAGGCGGATTGATGATTTCAAATTTATAATTACAGATTATAAGTATAGGTTTCCTTCACCGTATGTCAGCGGTGACTAAATAATTATAGAAAGTATACATATAACGCGGAAAAAGTCACATTGGTCTTGTCAGGTTTCGAATCCTCATGCATAAGAAGCCTTAACCTCCGGGCCACCACGATAAAATTAGTGGTTGTTCTAATAGGTATTATACAATATTATCAGCAACATGAATAAATTTCAGGTGATAAAAACACATCGAATGATGGTAGCGTACTGTCAGAATCATCTGACAATACGAATCAATTTGAACCCGACATTCAGGATGTGTGTTCCGCGAAGAGGGGAGAAAAAAGAAAGAGAACTGTCGACAAAATAAAGAGGACCAAGAAGGATAAAAGAAAATTAAATAAGGTGAGTAGAAAATAATTTTATTATTTATTTTTTGGACAATAATCAACATAATCATTAGCCTATAAGGCAAAGACCGCTTCTCATACGAAGAAAGTTTTTGCATTAACCAGCACGCTTGCTTAAGGCGGATTGGCGATTCCAAACTTATAAAAATAAGTCCAGTATTCCTCACAGTGTGTCTCTAGTGAAGGACGCTTTTACAACGATATCGATATATTTGAACTAACATCAATTGAGATAGAACATAGAGCGAACGAGGAGGCGGATCACTTGATGGTAAGCAATCGTAGCCGCCCTGGACATCTGCAACGCTAAAGACGTTACGTGACTTGCTGGCCTTTTGTGGATTTTTAGGGATTTGAGGATTTGGGTATTGGGTAGTTTCCTGAATCAAAAATAAATTATTTCGACATTTCAATACAATAAAATATTGAAAAACTAGCTTTTGCCCGCGACTTTGTTCACGTGGAAAAGTTACTTCCTGCAGATTTTTGGAATAAAAACTATCCTATGTCCTTTCTCGAGTTCCTAACTATGTCTGTACCAAATTTCACAGAAATCGGCTCAGTAGTTTAGGCGTGAAGAAAAGACAGACAGACAGACAGAAAGACAGACAGACAGAGTTACTTTCGCATTTATAATATTAGTTAGGATGACTATACTTTCTTCATCGATCGATCGATACATTAAATTTTAGATATTTTTTAGCATAATTTTAAGAAATAAGTAAGCTATTTGACGTAAAAATACTATGACGTCATAACTCAGTTTTTCATACAAATTTCATAGAAAAGTATCGTTTTTGACATTTGGATAAAAGTATTGAATTTGACTAGTTGGAAACTACCGTATTGGGCGCTGTGTTTATTTCACGCTAGTACCCTATGAGGTCGTCGATGAAGCCAAGTAGCCTGGTGTAGGGAATAGAACTGGCCACCCCGTTTTTAGCCAGTAAGAGGTACGCCCCAACAGAGTGGGAGAAGTCATTTGAAACTGATAATAATATTGTGTCCGAGTATACTCATGACGAATGGGCAATGAGTAAGCAGCGGCAAATGAGTTTAAGTATATTTTTATGTCACCAGAATCTACAAGACTGTCTAGCGTCGGACGTAAGTGAAAACCTCTTGAAATCCACTTCAGAACCAACGAATTTGTCTTCCGAAGAATTTGAAACATTCCCAGAAGTGCCAATCGTGTGTGTTAAAGAGAAATTCAAAGAAGAATGGGATGAGAAAGGTATTGTTTACTTAAACTTACTTCTGTTATAGGTTTCGCTTCGATACTCGGATGAAATGTAGTCTAAGTGTTATTTGAGACTATAATCTTTCTCTGTGTCAATCTTCATTAAATACCAATCATTAGTTGAGACGTTAATAATAACATTCACCCGTACTTACCAACTTTAGTGTTTATATAAAAGGGAAGAAGAAAGTAGGTATATATAAATATACCCCTTGCCCTTTTGGGTTAAAAGCGATCATGAAACTCTAAAGGACTTGACTTGATGCATATTATTTATAGTATTTTAGCATTTATAAAAATGTCTTCCAGTAAAACTATAAAGTTTTAAATGTTTTTTGAAAATTTAAGGTTTGGTTTCCACAAGGTACGATATTGGGACTAACTAATTTTTTGCTCATTTTGATCAATCAAGTTCTTTAAAGTTTTCAATAGTTCGTCATCATCAACATCAGCATAAATATCAGCTACAAGTCGTATTATTCTGAAAATTGCTTTCGCTCTCGCTTTTTTCAGAAGACAAAAATGTATTGGACGACAGTGATATGCTTTCGGATTCATCTGACAATACGAAACAGTTTCAATCTGACATTCAAGATATTATGTGCGATTTGAAGAAGGGAGATAAGAGAAAGAGAGTCAGTACTAAGATCAAGAGAACGAAGAAGGAGAAGAGAAGTAAGGTTAGTAGAAGTCTGAAATAAATTGTTGTTTAAATTGATTTATACTCGTGTAATAAGTATGATTATCAGAAATAAAGCCGGGGAAATATTCAAAGAGCTTATGTATAATTTACTTCGGCCCAAGCTTGGAGTAGGAGAAGAAGAAGGAACCACTCTGGTTTTTAGTTAAGAGTCCGATACTCCCTTTCAAATCTCACCCTGGGAGAGACCAGAGTGAGATTTATATAATATCAAACGTATTCTGCAGATCACAGATAACATAAAACGTAAAAGTCCACAGATTATACAGTTGAGGTTCACAGATAAAGTATCTGACTTTAGAGAATATATTTCTTCTCATCATAATCGGGCTCTGAAATTTTCAGAAAACCAATGTACTTATATTAATATTTGTTTGAAGTTATTATAGAGGTGGTGGCCCGGAGGTTATGGCCTCTGCTTCTCATACATAAGCGTGCGGGTTCCAAACCTTGCAGGTAGCAATGTGACTTATTCCGAGTTATATGTACTTTCTTTAAATATTTTGATACCACTGACAAACGGTGAAGGAACATGTCGTGAAGAAACCTGGATTTAAAATTTTCAATGCATGACAAGCGGATGCCTTAAGTCCGGGCCACCACGACCTTTTAACAATGTTTCGAAATATCGCTTACATTGCATAAAACTCTTTTTCAGCCAAAATCAATGAAGGAACACAACCAAAAGATACTTACCATAGAGCTAACTTACGAAGAGATGTTGTTAGAAAGAGATAGAGAATCGACCAGAGACACTTATTTAAAGGCTGAGTATAAATGTGAAACCTGTTTGATCGGATTTAATTATAAAAAGTCTTATTTAGCTCATGTAGCTGGCAAACATTCTGCGGTAAGTTATATGTACATATCAGTTATTTTTTAGTCGTAATTTGCGGACGGCGAGTAAGTGTAGCTCGCCGCCCGACCAGAACCAGACCCGAGCGTACGGCGCGTAGCGTTCTGCGCGCGCCTCAAAGAGCCAATAGACCACCACAGACGGGGCCCTATAGGGCTGATGTTCAGCCGGGGTTGCGGGGTAAGCGCAATGAGGCACCGCGACCTCTAATATAATAGATATTATTCTATTCTATTATATTAGATTCTATGATGAATGCACAAGAATACTACCTTACATATTAATGTTTAATTAATTAATTATCACCTATACTAATTTTTAAAGTTTCTCGTTTCATATTAACAACCTAAAGTTATAATGGAAAAGTGGGTATTTTTCGCGTTAATACCCGCGTAACTATATGCTATTATCACCTAATACGGTAGTTGCCAACAAGTCAAATTCAATACTTTTATCCAAACGTCAAAAACGATACATTTCTATGAAGTTTGTTTGAAAAACTGAGCTATGACGTCATAGTATTTTTGCGTCAAATACCTTACTTATTTCTTAATAATATTAGCTACGAAATATCTTAAACGTAGTGTATCGATCGATCGATGAATAAAAGTATAGTTATTTTTCAATGTTTTATTGTATTGAAACTCGAATTAATTTATTTTTGACCTAGGAAACTACCCAATTGTAAATACCTACATTCTGAGCAAGTAAATTATTATTCTATCCTGTTCAAATCTATTGTATACTTTTCATAATCCATAAAAAATATTCCTTTACATTTGTTTTAGGATCAAGGTGACTACATTTGCCCCATATGCAAGACTATAATACCATCGATTGAATCTTTTACTGCGCACTATAAGCGGCATATGAGAAGGTATGTATCAAAGTCAATATCAAATCACTTTTTATGACTACCCATAACACCAAGTTACGAGTGCGTTGCTATCCTTTTGGGGATTAGGGTTTTGGAGATTTAGGGTAGATACTTTCGTCTTTAAGTCAATTTCGAGCCAGCGGAGAGCCATGCTTCAGCACGAATGGATCGGCTCGACCGGAGTGATACCACAACCACACAGAAAACCGGCGTGAAACAACCACAGCGTTGTGTTTGGCCTTGTGAGTGAGGTTATCGGAGACCCTATCCGCCGCCCCATCCACAATTCCTTTATTCTTAAATCCCTTATAAACCACAAGAGTTTGGCAACGCATTTGTAGTAACTTGTTTAGTATATCGAGTGTCCATGAGTGGCGCTGATTGCTTGACCTATGACATAAACAAAGTGTGCATAAAATATTAAGGGCTGATTTTTCACTGGTTAGATAAAAGTTTCCTGGGGAATAATTTAGTACCTATACTCGGAATTTTAATTCCATTCCAGATTTGTCAATTTCAGTGTTGCAACGTTATGACACCTAATAAATAGTGACGTTGCGAAATTATTCGATATGGATATCGAATATTTCTGAATCGATTCCTCTCGTTTATAAATTTACTCTCGTAAACTAAGTTTATCAGGTAATAAAATATGTCTGAACCGATAATTTAGTTTTGACAATTAATTAACGATCTGAGACTTTTCTTTTGTAATTGTGTGTGAAATTAATAAAAAATTTGATCATGAAGGAACATGACAAATAAAACAGACATTTTATAAATTGTCGCCGTCTTCGCTATTGCTGTCGCTGTTACTTTCTGTAACATTAATATGAATTGTATCTGTAATATTTATTGTCAATTAACATATCTAGCTAACTCATTTTTTCCTCTTCTTTGACAACATGGGATACGCATTTAGACCATTCGGTAGCCGTAATTTTTTGAATGCCTTCCTGAAACTGATTCACTGATTGTTTATCGATTTTTGTGTTCATCACTACACTGTTATATTTGGTATCATTATTTCACAAAATGACAGTAGGTCATGTCAAATCAGGAATCGAATTAAAATTCTGAATATATAAGACAGTGACAGCAATAATTTTATTCCTCAGATAATATTTATCTGACTGTTGAAAAATCAGCCTTTAAATAAAAAAAAATAAGGTTTGTTTTGTATTTTTTCACCAGATACGAGTGCAGTATATGTCACAAACGTACTTTGGATATTAAGGTTATGCAACAACATTATTACTCCACGCACGAGATTTCCCTCAAGGAGTACAAGTGCAATCTGTGCGGGAAGATTTCCAAGTAAGTGATTTTTTATACTACACTAGCGGCCCGCCCCCGCTTCGCACGGGTTCAACTATCTCGCTATCAAAGAGTCACTTTTTCCTAATCTTCCCCTCTACTTTTCTAATATTTTCTTTGATAGGAACCTTCTCCTGACAATAACAAACACAACAAAAAAAGAATTAGCAAAATTGGTCCAGGCGTTGTTGAGTTATGCGCTTACCGACACTTTTTGCGATCGATTTTTATATATAGGTATAAAGACTAGCTACTCTTACGCGGTTTTTCTCGCTGCTCAGCTCCATTTGATCGTAGCGTGATGTTTTATAGGCCTATAGCACTCAGGAACATCGTAGCTATCTATCAGTGAAAGAATTTTGGCAATCCGACCAGCGGTTCCAAAGATTACCCCCTACATACAAACTTACAAATTTTACCTCTTTATAATATTAGTAGAGATTTGTTTTGTGTTTTCTTGCATGCGTATATGTATGTTTATCACAGGATTGTTTTGTAAATAAAAATGCTCGTTTGCTATCGTGTTGATCGCCATTATCATCAGCCTAAAAGTTACCACTGTTGATGGAAGTCCTCTTCTCACGCGGAGAAGGTTTGAGCTGTAACCACCACGCTTGCTCAAGGCGGATTGGCGATTTCAAACTTATAAGTCCTGGTTTCCTCACGATGTTTTTCGCGGAACGCTACGCGCCGAGGCTTGTTTCTTGCACCAAGTATTGGCTCATATCTACATCACTCAAGGCTAATCTGAAGAAAAACTTTCGCTAAACGATTATCCGCGAAAAGTCCCAAAAAAAGAACCCTCAATTTTTTGTCGATGGCTAATGCGGGCGCATAGAAGTCTGATTAATTTTTTCCGCCATTACGAAAATTTTTTTACAACTCGTCTCGTTTTCCCTTTTGATTTTTTTTGTTGTAGTATTATTTTATTCGACTTTTTTATTGGTTAATAACGTCGTATGATATACGTGTGTATTGATGATTACCGGCCTCTGCTTCTTAAGACCTCAATGCGTTAATCACCAACATTACACACTGATACCATATTGTACTATTTTTTCTTTCCCCCAGTTCAATAGATACACACCGCTACCACAAGGACACACACAAGGCTCGCGTCCAATGCACAGAGTGCGACAAGACCTTCAGGCATAGAGCAGGACTTATGAACCATAGACTGTGAGTATTTTATAATTATTATTACACGGATTCACAGAAAACCGGCGTCAAACAACCACAGCGTTGAGTGAGGTTACCGGAGGCCCAATCCCTCCCCCCCCCCTCCAATCCCAAATACCAAATCTCCAAAAGGTCGGCAACACAATCGTAACTCCTCTGTTGCAGGTGTCCATGGGCGGCGCTGATTGCTTACCATCAGGTAATCCGTCTGCTTGTTTGCCGACCTATTACATAAAAAAAATATCATAAAACTAGCTATTCTGGCGCAATTTTAATTCGCTGTGGTTCCTATAGATCATAGCGTGATGTCTTACAGCCTATAGCACTCAGAAACATTGTAGCTACCTATCTGTTAAAGAATGTTGGCAATCCGACCAGGCAGCGGATCCAAAGATTACCCCCTACATACAAAGTTACAAACTTTACCTCTTTATAATATTAGTATAGATATATAATCTGAATCTCTATAACGGCTAATATAATTTTCATAAAGTTTTGTGTACAGTTGGTTTTCGATAAATCGACCTAGTTAAATAAACCATTCTCTTTATTTCAGGGCGGTACACGAGTATCACAACGCGTTTCCTTGCACAATATGCGATAAAGTTTTCAGATGGAAAACCAGTTTGAAACGGCATTTAGAAAAACACGAGGTTAAGGTTAGTTTTGTTATTATCTATTATATTTATTCAAGAGAGCCAAGCTTCAGCTCAACCGGAGTGATACTACGGTCTCAAAGAAAACCGGCCTGAAACAACCACAGCGTTGTGTTTCGCCGTGTGAGTGACGTTACCGGAGTCCCAATCCTTTTTGAATACATTTTTTAATGACTAAGCCAAACGGCATCGCAAATAAGAAACTCTTCAATAACTTTTTGGATACATGATTAAACTAAACGGCGTGTCGAGTAAGAACATCCTCAATCACTTTTTGATTTAATTTTTGAATGACTAAGCATCACCAGTAAGATACTGCTCAATAAGTTCTTTAAATATTTATGTTGACTAAGCCAAATGGCATCACTAGTAAGAAACTGCTCAATAACTGTGTGGTTCCATTTTTTATTGACTAAGGCCAAACGGCATCACGAGCAAGAAAATGCTCAATAATTTTTTTGATTATATTTTTAATGACTAAGCCAAACGGCATCACTAGCAATAAATTGCTCAATCATTTTTTTTATTATATTTTTAATGACTAAGCCAAACGGCATCACGAGCAATAAATTGCTTAATCATTTTTTTATTATATTTTTAATGACTAAGCCAAACGGCATCACGAGCAAGAAAATGCTCAATATTTTTTTTATTGTATTTTTAATGACTAAGCCAAACGGCATCACGAGCAAGAAAATGCTCAATAATTTTTTATTATATTTTAAATGACTAAGCCAAACGGCATCACGGGCAAGAAAATGCTCAATATTTTTTTTTATTATATTTTTAATGACTAAGCCAAACGGCATCACGAATAAGAGAGTCCTCAATAACTTTCTGAATAAAATTTTTTGGCTTCCAGGGAAAGACATCGTCGTCGGCAGCATATTGTTCAATGTGTAATGTTAATTTCTCATCAATCTGTTCGTACCAGCGACATATGAAGAACAGTTTAAAACACGTCACACAAGATCAACTCAAGTAAGTAATGTGTATGTGAAATTTTATGTTTTACGTACCCACGACACAGGAGAAAATCCTAGCGTGTGGCAACTGTCTTTTTAAACCCCGACGGGAAAAGATGGGTGTTATAACTTTGACGTGTCTGTCTGTCTGTATGTCTGTGGCATCCTGGAACCTGAACGGATGAAGTTATTTCAATGTAGTTTTTTTTTGTATTAAAGGTGACTTAAGTGCGAGTGTTCTTAGACATGTTTGACGAAAATCGGTTGAGCCGTTTAGATGTTATGGGGGGATGGCCATTAATGCTCCTTACCTTTAATCAGTAAGAGTCTGACACACCCTAGCCTAACCTGGGCAAGAGAAATAAATAATATTAAAAAAAAAACTGGCGCTTTATCAAAGATGTAAAGAGTTTTTATCCTGTTCCTAGGAATACGGTAGTTTCCAACTAGTCAAATTCAATACTTTTATCCAAATGTCAAAAACGATACTTTTCTATGAAAATTCAGTTATGACGACGTCATAGTATTTTTGCGTCAAAAAGCTTACTTTACTACTTATTTCTTTATAATTAGCTAAAAATATCTAAAACTTAGTCTATCGATCAATATAAGTCATAATCGATGAATAAAAGTATAGTTATTTTTCAATATTTTATTGTATTGAAAGGTCGAACTAATTTATTTTTGACCTAGGACACTAGGACACTACCCAATTTCGTACCTTTTTTTTGGTTGGGAGTTTTCTTTAAATTTTAATTTATAACTTGTTTAATATTATTTGCAGGTTCATCTGTGATCACTGCAACAAAAGGTTTGCTGACAAAACGAAGCTCAGAGATCATATTGAAGAGAAACATCTTCACAAGACTTATCAGTGCCACATATGTCTTAAGGTAATTTAAACCAATGTTGAAGTGTGGGATAGCCACTGCTTCGACACGAATGGGTCAACTCGACCGTAGTGATACCACGGCCTCACAAAAAACAACCGTGTCTTTGTGTTTCGTGTAAATGAGGTTACCGGACGCCTAATCCTTCTCCTTCCTCCCCCAATCTCTTTATCCCCAAAACCCCTTAACGCATGTACAGCTCTTCTAGTTTTGAGTGTATCCACGAGCAGCGCTAATAAATTACCTTCAGGTCACCGCACACGCAACATGTGAATTTCAATCCGTTGCTATAATATTATAAAGAGGTAAAATTTGTAAGTTTGGATGTAGGGGGTAATCTTTGGAACCGCTGGTCGGATTTCCAAAATTCTTTCACTGATAGGTAACCACAATGTTCCTGAGTGCTATAGGCTTTAAAACATCACGCTACAATCAAATGGAGTCGAGCAGCGAGTAAAACCGCGCAAGAATAGCTAGATAATAAATAAAAAGTCTTTTCCGATACGCAAGAAGATGTCCATAGGTCCACAATTGGTCAATATTTATTTTGTCTTTTTATTTCCAGCCGTCAAAGAACAGAGTGGGGTTAGACCAACACATACGAAACGTGCACAAAGGACGACCGAACAATAAGATGTGCCATCATTGCGGAAAAGGATTCCCTGTGAGTTTTAATTAGTTCGCTTATCTATACTTATGTTATAATAAATCTGTAAAGAGGTCAATTGTGTACATTAAATATATTTTCAAAATAATTACCAGGGGATGATAAGTGATCGATACTGATGCCAAAAATGCAATCAGTAAAAATTTTGTCTGTCTGTCTGTCTGTCTGTATGTTCCTTATAGAAACAAAAAATACTCGACGGATCTTAACAAAACTTGGTACAATTATTGTTTATACTCCTGGGCAAGTTATAGGATACTTTCCATCACGCTACAAATAATAGGAGTAGAGCAGTGAAGGGAAATGTGGAGAAAAATATAGGAGAGCCATCCTTCGAAATGAATCGACCGGAGTGACCTCATAGTAATCCCTAATCCCAAAAAGTCAACAATGCACTCGTAACCCCTCTTGTAGTGGGTGTTCATGGGCGGTGCTGACTTTTTTTTATAGGTCGGCAAACGAGCAGACGGATTACCTGATGGTAAGCAATCGGCGCCGCCCATGGACAACCGCAACACCAATGGAGTTACGAGTGCGTTGCCGGCCGTTTGAGCGTTAGGGTTTCGAATACTTAGGGTAGGGGTAGCCTGACCTTCACGGCGAAACACATTGCTATAGTTGTATCACGCCAGTTTTCTGTGAGACCGTGGTATAACTCACCCAATTAAAACCAAAATTCAAAATCATTTATTCCAACTAAACTATAAATATAATAATAGTCTGTCAGTCAGTTCGTCAGTGTAGCTAGATGCTCGTTCAAGCAAGAACGAGCGAACGAGCAAGAAACTCCTTTAACTTTTTTATATGTTTTTTACAAGTTCCTCAATACATTATTGTACCCATATGTGAGAACAATGCAGAGTACAAGTTGCAAAAAACAACAACAAAACGAATGGATCAATTTCCAAGTACAGTCAGCTTCAAAAGTTGATGACCGCATTTAGATTTTCAAAGTAATATAAAATGATGTTCAGTGACATTTAACGAGTAGTGTTTAGTTAATTTAGAACTTGAATTGAATAATGTTTATTCAATTTTTTTGAGTGATTTATGGGTGATATAGTGTACAGTGGTTTTAAAAATTTGAATGTTCATCGACTTGATGCTGACTGTACCTAACAATTCTCAAATTTTATATTTGTTTGTTGCAGACGAAAGTGCAGTTAGAATCTCATATCCGCACACACACCGGAGAGAGGCCGTTTATATGTGAATTCTGTCCGACCACGTTTTCTCAACAATCGAACCTTTATAAACATAATCGCCAAGTAAGTTGAACTCAATAATACTTTGCTCGACCCTTAGCACACCTTATGACAACAAGGCTACAAGCGCAATAACGCTGATACTCCCTCTTGCAGCACTTAGATATTATTATAGGATCCAAAAGTCATTTGATACTTAAAAACCCCCCTTTCGTACTACATCACATTTTTTATGCACAAAAAAAACTGTACAAAGGTGAGCGTAACGCCAATGGGCATTCCCTAACAGTCAAACCTTTGGATGATGCAGTGATAAATAAGCAAGTATCATTTCAAAGTGATTATGCAAGAGAAGTTTTTGTAAAGGTCGGTAAACGAGCAGACGGATTACCTGATGGTAAGCAATCGGTGCTATTTATAGACGGATGTTCATACGGTAAATCCACAAATTGTTGTTTCGTGTCTGTGTATGTGAAATTTTATGTTTTAAACGCCCCTACGACACAGGATAAATTCTTAACGTTTTCAAAAAAACAAATAATTGGCAACATTGAAGAGTTCAAGACTGTTGCCAGCCTTCTGGGAGTTTGTGGAATAGGGGATTTAAGGATCGGATGGACGATTGAATCTCTGGTAATTTTGTACACAAGCCATTTGATGATTATGTCCTTTAAAAAATACCCTTGCACAGCAATCACATCTACAACTGTTAAGGAAATTCCTTGATTGCGCCATACTTTTTGGGTAGTCCTTTTTATGGTTTATAGGATAGGTAGGCAATCGGCGCCGCCCATGACACCCGAATTTACTTCACAGTTGTCTTTTGGGACTAAGTGCACAAATCCCTGATCATAAAAGGGCAGATTCGGATAGATGGAGATCGGACGTATTGGCCCTAACGCGGCCTTAACACATTCAGTGCCCCCGACGCGTATGTGCGTTTCCTCGCACGCACATACGCGTCGGGGGCACTGAATGTGTTAAAGCTTCCATGAGGCCGTGGTATGAAGCTCAAACTTATTTCTTTTTATTTTGTTTTCAGGTTCATCTAAACATAAAATCGAAGCGGTATCCCTTAGGTAAGAGAAAGGATGACAGGCCCCCAGAGATGCAACCTTTGGATCCTACACCCGTTGACCAGTTTAGACTTCCGATGTTACAGTATACAAATGAGAAATCTTTTGTTATATAATACTAGCAACTGTTTACAGATTTTTCCAAACTAATATTATAAAGAGGTAAAATTTATAAGTTTGTGCATAGGCGGTAATCTTTGGAACTGCTGGTCGGATTGCCAAAATTCTTTCACTGATAGATAGCTACAATGTTCCTGAGTGCTATAGGCTAAAACATCACGCTACGATCAAATGGAGCCGAGCAGCGAGTGAAACTACGCAGGAGTGCATAGTTTAGCATATTTTAAAAAACGCGCGTAACGAATGTCAATGTCATTCAGCCATAGACTATATTGAAAGAGCATAGTTCGTTCGGAAACGCGGTTACTTATATAATTTAATTCTATCGCAATTATAATTTTTGGAAATAACTCGCCACAGAATATTTATTTATAGATAAATATTATCAAATGTACCGATTTTGACGGTAATATTAATAATACCGGAGATGATTTCTTGATTTCTATATAAGGCGGTACGAAGTTCGCCAGGTCAGCTGGTGTTTCATAAAAATAATGTATTTTCCTAGTATTACGATCTCCTTATGTATGTTAAAACTTATATTTAATTGTATTATAATATTATATACTAAGAAATAAGTATATTTTGGATGTATTGTGCAATAATATATAAACGTATGAATGAAGTTTTGCGTTTTATTTCGTCTTAGCGTTCATTATTGTATAGGGTAAAGAAAAGACTATAATACAATTACATTTATTATCTATATCTAATATATAAAATATATTAATCAAAATAAGTATGAGAGAGCCATTCTCCGGCACGATTGGGCAGGCTCGAGCAAAGTGATACCACGGCCTTGTATAGGTAATTCCACTGTCAAAGAAACATGCGTCGTTTTTCGCCGTGTGAGTAAAGGTAGCGGTAGCCCAATTAAGTAGTTTCCTAGGTCAAAAATATATTAATCCGATGTTCCAATACAATAAAATATTTGAAAAATAACTATATTTTTATTCATCGATCAATCGATACGTTGAATTTAAGAAATAAGTAAGCTATTTGACGCAAAAATTTTATGACGTCGTTTATCATACAAATTTCATAGAAAAGTATCGTTTTTGACATTTAGATAAAAGTATTGAATTTGACTAGTTGGAAACTACCGTATTCTCTTTCTCGTCCCCTCTCAATAACCCAATCCTCCCGAAAGGCCGAAAACGCTCTTGCAACTTGGATTGCGAGTCTCACGGGCTTTTGGTTTGCTTACCATCTGTAATCCAAAGAAAAAGACTCATAGGCCAAATTGTAGCATTAAAAAATATATTATTTAATAAAAATAAAAATGATGGGCCCTTGCAGTTCGCCGTTCTTGAAGATAATGATATGCCAATATGCTGATGATGGAAAGATTACGATTTAAGCGACTGCACTACAAGCTCTATATTATCAACTACAATTTCATTATTGCCAGTTCTTTCTCTATCATTCCTTGACCTCATCACACCGACCCTTTTTTCTGTACGTGCTATTGATTTCCGTGTTTCCATATTGTCATTTGTAGATTTCAATTTTGGTTTAGAAGTTGTATTTATTGCTTCACCGAAATTCCTTTGTGCATTAGAATTTGTCGAAAGGTTATTTTTTGGTATTTGTGTGTTTTTATCATGATGTTGAATATGGCGTTTTTCGATTAATTCCTTATTTTTCTCCTGTGTTATATTACCTAATAAAATATTCGCTTCTTTTACGAAAAATTTCTTATCAGTTTCATTAAGTTCGTCATACTTGTCTACGATAGCGAATCGTATGAATTCTTTAACGATTTTTGTCGCATCCGATTTACTCGTGCTCTCAATAGCTTCGTAGAATTTTTTCAAATATTTATGTAACTTTTTCATATCACGTTGCGTATAGATTCTATCCATTTTCCTAGAGAATCTGCGCATCGCGGGTATTTTGTGACATCGTTGATATGTTTTGACTCCGTGTGTTTTATTAAGGAGATCCGTCATAATTTCCTTAATGTTCTTATCCGGTAAAATATGTTTCAGTATAGACTTGTTGGAGTCAACCATTTTAAAAACTTCTTTCTTAATAACTGATGCTGATTGGTCGAAACTAGATAAGGTTATGTTGGCCACGTGGTTACAGTATTCTTGAAAAAGATCCACAAAATTCAATTGTGGTCTGTCATCTGCTCTGAACTGTTTTGACGCTCGAAGATCACGATAACGGTTATAGTTTTTCAACTGCGGCGCTAACATTGTATAAAGTTTGTCTAAGAAGTCTTTTATATTCTTTATAAAAGCTATGTTGTCATTCATTTCCTTTGGTTCGAAGAGGAATGATGTTTCCAAGGCCACGTTGACGCTTCTTGGTGAAGGCTCTACTACAGCTGTAGCGGCTGTAATGATGTTGAAATTGGTGTAAAAATATTATGTATTTCACGTAACCATAGGAGCCTGATCATTTGGGAGAACGGTGCGTACGAGGGGCCGAAGTTTGCGCAAAGGAGCTTTAGATAGGTTTAATCTTAACGAAGTGTGACACCAATCGGCGCACAATCCCTGTATGCTCTATCTATGGAAATGCACCCAAAGATGACCCCGGTAAGTGTAGGACTATTGCGGATAATGGAAACAAGAGATAAGGTATGGGTATAGGTTACCATAGATTGGTATGGTGGGAACTATGGAAGGACTTTAGCACCTGTTGAAACAATGCAATCTTTACATGTACCTAAAATCATCAGATGAATACTCAAAAAATTGCCGACTGAGCCCCCGGGAATGGTTGCAAAAGCAAGAGAGGCAATGAAAATGTGAGTGGCTGAATCGTGAAGAAATTGCCAAAAACTTTCTACTCTGATCATTTGCATCTGCCTAAGCATTCTGTGTCACTGGCCCATTCGCCGGTTACGAATAACCCTCAGAGCTGGATGACTGCTACTACGATTTCACTCTGGACGGCCAATAAAGACTTTTCTCGTCACCTTTCGCTCCAGTCAGTCAATAAAGGGGAATATTGGAAATAGGTAATAAAAAATTGGTTTTCACGAATGGGTCGACTCGACAAAAGTGATGATACCTTGGCCACACAGAATACCGGCGTGAAACAACCACAGCGCTGTGTTTCGCCGTGTGAGTGTGTTTACCGGAGGCCCAAACCCTCCCCTTGGGTATCCCTTCTCAATCCTTAAACAACTCAACCCTTATCCCCAAAAGGCCGACAACGTACGGCGGCGCCAATTGCATACCATCAATTAATCCGTCCGCTCGTTTGCCGACTTATTCCATAAAAAATACGGTGACTTCTCCCTGGAGCACTCGAGACGATGGCCTATTCCTGTCACTTCGCCGAGGTGCCGAAAAGTGAGGTTACCGAATACCCAAGATCTCCTTCAAGTCAGCATCGTACTTGACTCCTCTGAAGTTGCGATTGGCGTTGATTGCTTATTATCAGGATGTTATAATTGTGATGACTCGCTAGTTACAATTATGAAGAGGTTGAATTCGTAATTTGTAAGTTGGTATGTAGGGGGTGACCTTTGGAACCGCTGGTCGGATTGCTAAAATTATTTCACTGATAGGTAGCTACAATGTTCCTGAGTGCTATAGGCTATAAAAGATCACGCTACGATTAAATGGAGCCGAGCAGCGGGTGCAACCGTGCGAGAGGTATGGTATGGTATTTTATAGCCTTCCTCAATAAATGAGCTATCCAACACAAAAATAATTTTCAAATTCGAACCAGTAGTTTAGGAGATAAGCAAGTTTAAACTAACAAAAAACTCACCATAAGCTATCAACGAAAACAAAATTACAGTTTTCATAGTTTTATATGAATAAACAATCATTTTTTTTATTTTATTCCTAGCATTTCATACACATATTGTGTTATGGCGACGGAATTATTTTCATATAATAAAAAGAAAATGATTTATGGACGTTTGACGTTGATGTTTATTGCAAACAACAATTCCTTCTATGGAAAGGTATATAGGTACATATACCTACTAGATTTTACCCGCGGCCTCGCTCCCGTCAACCCGTTATACGCTACCCTAACCTACATATCCTAACCTACCCTGGACTTAAAATTTCTAATCACCATTCAGCTTAGGAAACCAGCAGCGTAGGAAGAAAGAAGTCAGCAGTGGAAACTTATACTGACGATAATGAAAAATCGATATTTTTCTACATGATGAACAAAAAATAAAACAATTTGTTATAATTTGTACATACATCATTTTAATCACAAATATACCAAAATATTTTCATTCACAATTCCAATACAGATAAAATATATTACATTTACACGATAATTTGTCGAACCTAGAGGGCGCTGGTGTAGTATTAAGGCAACAAAGATGTTTTTTCAACTCCGATCATACGGCTTAGTAAATATTTATACAGTTGCATCAATGGCTTTAAAAACTGCTTAGTAACGGTACGGTAGTATATATATATATCACTACGGCTAGTCTTTACACGGGTGTGTATTACCAAGAGACTTTACATATGACTCTGACTCTCTCTTCTCCTTTCAATTTAGACACAATAGAAAAAACAATAATTCGGCTGCACGGTTGGCGTGCAACTCGTCACCGTTGTAATTCTTGCACGGAACAGCTCTGTGTGACCCAAAAACTGTTGTTCCGGGTCTTGTATATGAAACTGTATGTTTGTAAACGCACTCACGACATAAGAGAAAATCTGAGTGTGGACCAACTAAAAAATAACAGTAGGTACGCGAACGCCGGCGTTGCTTGTTTTTTGATGAGTTAAACTGCGAAATCCAGGTGTGGCGAGGCTCACATACAGTTAACTATACAATACAAAATACAAAAATGCTTTAACAACATAATTATATTTATTTACGAGGGTATTAACGCGGAAAATTATTATTTGAATACCTTGGTAAGCTTGACGCTTCGACCCGGTTGCACTGGTTGTGGTCACAGGCAGACTGACCACGAATAAATATATTTTGTTAATATGGAACTTTTTTTTTTGTATGTAATAGGTCGGCAAACGAGCAGACGGATTACCAGATGGTAAGCAATCAGCGCCGCCCATGGACACCCGCAACGGAGGAGTTACGAGTGCGTTGCCGACCTTTTAGGGATTTGGAGATGTAGGGATTGAGGAGGGATTGGGGGAGGGGAAGGATTGGGCCTCCGGTAACCTCACTCACACGGCGAAACACAACGCTGTGGTTGTTTCACGCCGGATTTCTGTGAGGCCGTGGTATAACTCCGGTCGAGCCGACCCATTCGTGCCAAAGCATGGCTCTCCCACACTTAAACGGAACTGGAGTTTAAAAGTCAAAAATGCTTTATTTGTTCTATTACTCTCATAGTAAACAAAATAATTATTCATTGCATAGTGTAGGTACATACAAGTTGATGATAAAAATCTACATTTCTGTCTCCAGAATCTGAAAAACTGTCTCAAAATGTAAATAAATAATAAAGGATGATTCTTAAGTTTTATTTAGCTGCGGATGGAGTTTCTTGGTATGTCTAGACAGACAGGAGAGCCAGCTGAAGCGAGCCCCGCAAATGTTACACTTATAAGCTGCCTGAGCACTGTGCAGCGCTAACACATGACTACGGAGCTTCGATTGATTCTGAAAGAAAAAATATATGAATAGTCGTTAAAGGAATAATATCAATACATCTATACTAATCTTTATATATAAAAATGGATCGCAAAATGTGTTTACCAACACATTTTGCGCATAACTCAACAACGGCTGGACCAATATTGCTAATTCTTTTTTTGTTGTGTTTGTTATTGTGAGGAGGAGGTTCTTATCAAAGAAAATATTAGAAAAGTAGTGGGTAGAGTTGGGTAATAGGGACCCTTTCATCGTAAGCAAGATGATGAGACCCGTGCGAAGCAGGGGCGAGCTGCTAGTCTATATATATAAAAGAAAGTCGTGTTAGTTACTCCACTTATAACTCAAGAACGGCTGAACCGATTTAGCTGAAAATTGGCAGGGAGGTAGTTTAGAGCCGAGAGAAGGACATAGGATAGGATAAAGTAGGTAGAGTAGGTTAGGTAGAGTAGGGTAGGTAGAGTTGGGTAGGTAGAGTAGGGTAGGTAGAGTAGGGTAGGTAGAGTAGGGTAGGTAGAGTAGGGTAGGTAGAGTAGGTTAGGTAGAGTAGGGTAGGTAGAGTAGGGTAGGTAGAGTAGGGTAGGTAGAGTAGGGTAGGTAGATTAGGGTAGGTAGAGTTGGGTAGGTAGAGTAGGGTAGGTAGAGTAGGGTAGGTAGAGTTGGGTAGGAAGAGTAGGGTAGGTAGAGTAGGGTAGGTAAAGTAGGGTAGGTAGGGTAAGTAGAGTAGGGTAGGTAGAGTAGGTAGGGTAAGTAGTCAAATGACGGGAGCGACGCCGCGGGTAAGAGCTAGTCTTATATATAAAAATGGATCGCAAAATGTGTTGGTAAGCGCATAACTCAACAACGCCTGGACCAATTTGCTAATTCTTTTTTTGTTGTGTTTGTTATTGTCAGGAGAAGGTTCTTATCAAAGAAAATATTAGAAAAGTAGAGGGTAGAGTTGGGTACTAGGGACCCTTTCATCGTAAGCGAGATGATGAGACCCGTGCGAAGCGGGGGCGGGCCGCTAGTATTATAAAAAGGTAAAATTTGTAAGTTTGTATGTAGGGGGTAATATTTTGAAACGCTGGTCAGATTGCCTAAATTATTTCACTGATAGGTAGCTACAAGGTTCCTGACTGCTATAGGCTATAAAACATCACGCTACAATCAAATGGAGCCGAGCAGCGAGTGAAACCGAGCGAAAGTAGCTAGTTTTTTCCTAAATTGAGACTGTTTAACTATTAAATGCTGTGTAAAGTTACAATTTGGTGTTTCCTAGGTCAAAAATAAATTCATTCAACGTTTCAATACAATGAAATATTGAAAAATAACATTTTTATTTATTTATCGATCTGTGGACACTCTACTATTTCGATAGTTTTTAGCAAATAAGTATAAGCTATTTGACTATTTAATAGCTATTTGCAAAAATACTATGACGTCATATTTTTTTAGTTTCACACAAATTACATAGAAAAGTGTCGCTTTTGAAATTTGGATAGAAGTATTGAATTTGACTAGTTGGAATTTGACGTATTGGACCTCAGGTTTATACAATGTGTATGATTAACATGATAATATTATGTATAGCTAATGTCTGTTGACTGTTTCTGTACCAAATAAAAAGTAATGATACTTACAGCGAAAGATTTCCCGCAGTGATCACACAAATGTTCAGTGTTTTCTGTCTTATGCACAACTTGTTTGTGAAGGTACAGAGAAGTCTTGCTTTTTAATACCTGAAAACAGACTTCATCATGAAAACATAGCCAAGGCCTTCCCAGGACGGTTTGCAAGTCACGTATAAGAGCCGTGCTCCGGCACAAATGAGTGTTTTTTTTTTCTATGTTATAAGCCGGCAAACGAGCCGACGGATTACCTGATGGTAAGCAATCGGCGCCGCCCATGGACACCCGCAACACCAATGGAGTAACGAATGCTCTGTCGGGATTTTGGGGATAGGGGTTGCGGATAAAAGGATCGGGAAGGGATAGGGGAAGGGGAGGGATTGGGCCTCCGATAACCTGACTCACACGGCGAAACACAACGCCTTCTTTTACGCCGGTATTCTGTGAGGCCGTGGTATCACTCCGGTCCAGCTAACCCATTCGTGCCGAAGCAAGGCTCTCCCACACTTGAGTCTTGAGTCCTACAAATGATACCATGACCTCGGCGTGAAACAACTACAGCAATGTGTAAGTGTGTGAGGTTACCGGAGACCCAAATTTTAATTAACATTATTTGTGTGATACCACGGCCTCACATTAAATTGGCGTGAAACAACTAAACAACCACAGCTTTGTGTTACCGGAGTCCAAATGCTTCTTACCCTCTCCAATCCCAAAAATCAAAACCCCTTATCCCAAAATGGCACTCTCCCTAATTAACAAAAGGTCGACGACGCATTCGTAACTCTTCCATAGTTGCGGGTGTCCATATCCGGCGCTGATTGCTTACCATCAGGTTATCCGTATCAGCTCGTTCGCCGTCCATCATAGACAAAAAAATACCTATTTTCTCTTACCTTCTGACACACAGAACATATGTGAACGAAATTTTTCAAATGTTCCCAATCCACGTGGTCTTTCAATTGAGTTTTATTCGGAAACCGCTTGCCACAATCACTGCACATATACCTGTCAACAATAATGAAAAGTCGGAGTTTAGAATGATGGGTGATTAGGGGATCCGCGTCTAGGACTTTACGAGGGCAGTGGATTGCATTTCTATACGGCGAAAGAAAACGGTATGCTTGTTTCACGGTACTAACAGACCGTTGTATCACTCCGGTCGAGATAATACGTAAGTTTCGAATAATAGTGAGCCCACACTTAAAAGGATAAGTACTTAAAGGGAAAAAACTGATGATGATGATAATTCGGTTAAGACTTACTCACGTAAATATTTCATGGGGTGTAGTATATCCAAGAGGATAGGTTGTAGATGGAAACAAGTGTTTATTCTGAAGTCAGGTTTATTCATGTCTAATTATAACAGTACAATTCAATTCAAATCAAATTACTTAGTTACTATAGTCAGAATTTTAATTCGATTCCTGATTTGACATGACGTAATGTCATTTTGTGAAATAATGATACCACATATAACAGTGTAGTGATGAACACAAAAATCGATAAACAATCAGTGAATCAGTTTCAGGAAGGCATTCAAAAAATTACGCCTACCGAACGGTCTAAATGCGTATCCCATGTTGTCAAAGAAGAGGAAAAAATGAGTAAGCTAGATATGTTAATTGACAATAAATATCACAGACAATTTATAATAAATGTTACAGAAAGTAACAGCGATAGTGACAGCGATGACGGCGACAATTTATAAAATGTCTGTTTTATTTGTCATGTTCCTTCGTGATCACGTTTTTTATTAATTTCACACACAATTACAAAAGAAAAGACTCAGGTCGTTAATTAATTGTCAAAACTAAATTATCGGTTCAGAAATATTTTATTTCCTGATAAACTTAGTTTACGAGAATAAATTTATAAACGAGAGGAATCGATTCAGAAATATTCCTATTCCTATAGAAATATTTCGATTTCTATATCGAATAATTTCGCAACGTCACTATTTATTGCGTGTCATAACGTTGCGACACTCAAATTGTCAAATCTGGAATGGAATTAAAATTCCGGGTATAGAATATTAATGCTATTATACTTGCAAAACGTGACATGTCATTGTAGCGACGACTGTCTTAATAGGGATCGGCAAAGGCATGTCCTTACAGAGGAACTCGACTAGTAAAGTGTGAGAGAGCCATGATTCGGCACGAATGGGTCGGCTCGACCGGAGTGATAGAACAACCATACAGAAATCCGGCATGAAGTAACACTTGCGTTGTGTTTCGCTCTTGTGGAGGTTACTGGAGGCCCAATCCTTCCACTCCCCCAATCCCCAAACTCCAAATGATCGGCAACGCCCTCCTCGTCGTTGCCATCGGCGGCGCTGATTGCTTACCATCAGGTAATCCGTCTCCTTGTTTGCTGACCTTGTGTTGTGACTTAAAACTACATTGTAGACATTTTCTCAATTAAGTCAAGTGAGCCATACTTAAATTTTAACATAAAGATGATTATGATAGCAAAGAAAAACTTAATTAAATACGGTTCATTCGTTTGGGAGCTATGATGCCACAGACAGACAGACAGACAGACACGTCAAACTTGTAAGACCCCTCTTTTTGCGTCGGGGATTAATAATGACCTTGACAATACTTACTTGAAATCATTTTCGCTGACATGCTTCCTGCTAATACTCATGTGTTGTTTGTAGGTCGCTATGGATGAGAACGTTCGGTTGCACGGCTTGCATACTAAGTTGCCGTTTGCTCTGCAAATAACAAAATATTATTTACAATTTTATAGTGTGTGTGTAAGAGAGAGAGAGAAGGAGGAAAAGACAGATAAGAAAGAGAGAGAGGGGGGGGGGAGAGAGAGGGAGAGAGAAAGAGAGGGAGGGATATAGAGATGAGAGAGAGTGGGGGCGACGGAAGGGTATATAGAGATGAGACAGAGAGAAAGAGAGAGAGAGAGAAATGGGGGGGTGATAGAGATAAGAAAGACGGAGGGGTGGAGAAGAGAGACGAAGATCGAGAGAGAGAGAGAGAGAAAGAGAGAGAGAAACTACGTGTCACAACATAATTTCTTATCTTATTCCGTGCCGTCACACGATATTTCAAATCGTTATAATGATTGTAAAAAGCTCATATTCCCCTATCCTTAAATACCTAATAAAATATCCCTAATATAATCCTTAATAATCCCCAATAGGCCGGCAACACAATTGTAGTAACTCCACTGGTACTATAAGTGTCCATGGGCGGCGCTTATTGTTTACCCATCAGACAATCCGTGTGCTCGTTTGCCGACCAATGACATAAAATGAATGACCCTACATTTTAAAAACCACTTGTTGAGTCACGGGGTAAGATTATAAATTAAAAAGGGGAAAAGTTCACTCACTGTATTTTAGTAAAACACGCTCATTACATTTGTGCGACCGAATCGTAACCCGTCAAGCCCGTGACTGTCTTACATCGCAAACGTGCAACGTTGCGATGAATAAGTCATAGCGCATTGTCGCTCTTCTGTATTTTTAATCGGGAGAGGAAGCCGCGGGCAAAGCTATATAGATAAAAGGGTAACCACCCAATGGTAGACTGGTTGAGAATGCATGTGAATTTTTTGCGCATGAAGTTTTTAAATCGATTTTTTATGGGTCGGCAAACGAGCCAACGGATTACCTGACGGTAAGCAATCAGAGCCGCCACGGACACCCGCAACCACAGATGAGTTACGAGTACGCCGCCGACCTTTTGGGGATTTGGAGATTTTAGGATTGGGCTTCCGGTAACCTCACTCACACGGCGAAACACAACGCTGTGGTTGTTTCACGCCGGCATTCTGTGAGGCCGTGGTATCACTCCGGTCGAGCCGACCCATTCGTGCCGAAGTATGGCTTAAATGATAAAAACAGTCTTACCTAGCTACATGGCTGTGTACATGACGAAGAAGGTTCCCTCTGCACAGGAACTTCTTGTCGCACTGCGGACAAGGGAACTTCTGTCTCGATCCTAAAACTGAACACTTTATCTGTTCTATATGCTGCTGGCGTTTCTCCGCGTTACTCGAGTCCGGTAGGGCTTCTGTTAATTTCCTAAAAATGTAATTATTTTACTTTAGATTGTCGAAAGAACATCATTGAAGACATTTTTTACTTTTAAACTTTCGCGTTTCATATTTATAATATAGTAGCTATTTTCGCGCGGTTTCACTCGCTGCTCGGCTCTATTTAATCGTAGCGTGATGTTTTATAGCCTATTGCACTCAGGAACATTGTAGCTACCAAACAGTGAAAGAATTTTGGAAAACCGACAAGTGGTTCCGAAGATTACTCCCTACATACAAACTTACAAATTTTACCTCTTTATAATATTAGTATAGATAATTACGCGGCTATTAAAGTATTTATTGAAATATTTACATGTAAGTCTTTTTTGGAAAATGATTTGTCCCGCCAAGGGTGGGGCGGGAAAGAGTGATAGACTCTTATTGACCCCCGTTCTTTCTCCTGCTCTAGGCAACCTCTGCTGAGCGTGTTATACTCATTTTAATATTTAAAAAATAACTTACCTAAGTTTCAATTGGATTTGATGATTGGTACTAGTCTTTACGTGCTTCTGTAAATTCGCTGTCGTCGTGAATGATAACCTGAAATATAAGTAAAACTAATTAAAGTAACATTACAAATCTCAATTAATTGTTTCTGCAAATAAGTAGGAAACATAAAGAAAGCTTTTGCCGCGACTTTTTTTATGTTGGGGACACTACATAGTATAATAAAATCTATACTAATGTTATAAAGAGGTAAAATTTGTATGTTTGTATGTATGGATTGCCAAAATTCTTTAACTGATAGATAGCTACAATGTTTATGAGTGCTATATATATGTATATCAATATTGTTATTGTTGTATTGTGATACTAGCTACTCCCGCGCGGTTTCACCCGCTGCTCAGCTTCTATTGGGGGAAATATACGGATTTCTAAATAAAAAATCTTCCGACAATGTAATAGCTTATATTTCCAGCAAGCGAATGAATATAACATAAAAATGAAACCTAAGACGGTAACTAGACTTAAACATTAATAAAAAAAATATAATAAAGTGTCCGCAGTGACACATCGCGCGAACATTGCTAACTCTAAATGAGTAGGCGTTTAACCTTGGGATTAATTATAATGTAAACAGCTTCATTTGATCGTAGCGTGATGTTTTATAGCCTATAGCACTCAGGAACATTGTAGCTATCTATCGGTGAAAGAATTTTGGCAATCCGACCAGCGGTTCCAAAGATTACCCCCTACATACAAACTTACAAATTTTACCTCTTTATAATATTAGTGTAGAATATATCAATGTGTTGGTTTTGATTTCCGACACCTTACCTGCAGGTTTCGCAGTACGGTTTACGTTTCTGTCCGGTCTCGATCCGGTGTACCTCAACGTGTTTCCGCAGCGACGCCTTCCATTTGAACCTCTTGTCACAAGTATCACATACGAACAGTGCTGGCGTCTGTTTTGTACTGAAAATCGTAATTTTTTTTTTGTTCTTTCCTTTCAAGGGACTACAAAATTGGCCCCTTGTACGCCTTCCAAAAGAAGGCGTACAAGGGACCGAAGCCAACTCGCAGAGGCCCTTTGAACAACTTTAACGTAAGTGAAATAGGACATCAGCCGGAAATTATCCACTATGAAAGTACACCCAAGGATAATCCCCGGTTGATGCAGGACTATTGCGAAATGTGGCGAAAATTGATACGGTTATAGGTATGGGTTGCTATGGACTTGTGGATATGATAACTATGGAAATACTGTGGCTCCTGCCCCTGACCAATATTGAATAATGGGCCCCCGGAAACGGCCGCTAGCATGTAGCGACACGGAGGCAACATACGTTGAGCTGCTTGGGGAAGGAGAGGCATCCCACGGCTACCAGAGCAATCCCGGAAGTACGGTCAAGACCCCTACCAGCACCTTACTGAGATTAATCCTTCCCCCGAGTATCCTTCAGCTCCTACTCTTGCAAATCTCCACTCTATCCAGCCAATTAAGGCAAGAATGAGGTAGAAGGGCTTGTTCCTCATCAATGTTCACGCCAGCTTGCCACGAGGAATAACAACAACAAAAGGAACGGGATGGTTTTTAGTCAGTAAGAGTGGGACCCTCCTTATATCTCCCATCTAGGGCTAAGAGAAGTCAGGCTTAAGTGGGAGAGCCATGCTTCGGCACAAATGGGTCGGCTCGACCGGAGTGATACCACGGCTTCACAGAAAACCGGCGTGAAACAACCACAGCGTTGTGTTCAACGCACTTGTAGTAACTCTTTTGGTACTAGGAGTGTCAATGGGAGGCGCCGATTGCTTACCATCAGGTAATCCATCTACTCGTGTAATGACCTATAACACAAATAAATAGTCTTCAAATGATTTTAACACTCATTATAACACACTGGGTGTTTACCTTTCATCCGTGACATCTGCGTTGTCTTTTGATAATTCATTCTGATCATTCGATAAGTCTTTTTCTTGGTTCTGTGTGTTTACTTCTATTTGGGTGTCTTGGACATCGATGCCTATTGACGGGCTGCAATGAGAAAAACATACTCAATTTTTTTATTAAAATAAAATCGCTGCCTTTTACTAGGATTTTCTCCTGTGTCGTAGGTTGAAAAAACACACAATTTTACATACACATCACAGCCAGACTCGGAACAAAAATTTGCAGATCACACAAAGACTTATTCTGTGCGGGGATTGAACCCGCGACACGTTGCTCGGCAACCAGTTGCCAAACCAACTGTTGTATCATCTCTAATTAGTCATACTAATTATTGTCACACTAGAACTGTCGATGTCAGTGTCATCCTTTAGTATAAATAAGGTGGTCGAGAGAGTGTCGGCCACTGACAATGTAACTCTGGTGCAGAGAGCTGCCCGACTGAGTCCCTTCTGTGATATTAAGGTCACTGTATCCAAGACCCAAATCTTTTATTGATATTACACCAACAACATTTTAAGTAAAGTCAACAAGTAAGCTCTACTAGTATCAAGTAACATCGGAAATCTTATTCATGAGCAGCGTGCGCCGACTAGTTATATGCAAAGACAAAAACTTAAAAAAAATTGAATAAATTGTCTGTCAGTCGGACGGATAGCGGAGACTTAGTAAGTAATAGGGTATTTACCCTATGTATAAAAATGAGACGATTAATAACAAATTTTATGTATACTTCGATTTTGTTCTATTGGTATAGGCTGCTTTTTATCAACATAGCACACGGGCGAAAGCTAGTCTATACTAATATTATAAAGAGGTAAACTTGTAAATTGCCCTCCCTCGCGCCGTTTCATCCCCTACTCGTCTCCATTTGATTGTAGCGTGATGTTTTATAGCCTATAGCACTCAGGAACCTTGTAGCTATGTATCAGTGAAACAATTTTGCCTACATACAAACTTACAAATTGTACCTCTTTATAATATTAGTATAGAAGTATAGACATACTCGCGAGAAGAGTTACGTAGGTATAAAAAATATGTAGACTCACCCATTATAATGGACCAGCTCATAGTGTTTGGCGATAGCTCGTTTACTGACGCACCGCTCCGTACATACGCTGCACTCGTATCGACGTATATGTTTGTTCGTATGATAATTGAATGATACCTCGGACGCGAACGAACATTCGCATATATGGCATTTATAGTTTGCTGAGTGCTGTAATAAAGGAAAAACATATTGTAACGCGCCGTCCGAACCTCTGTATTTGTGGCAACTTCACGCATGCGCGGGAGATCTACCTTGTCCCGCTAACGCACTGCGCAGCTGCGCGCGCCGCGTCGTTCGCGCGAGCTTCAGTGATCAGTCCGCCCCCGCTAACGGCCGCGACGCGCATGAATGTATCGCGTCCGCGACCTTACGTGATTGTTTCTCTAACTAATTAGTTTTGTGACATTGTGTAACTGATTGATTGATGATTAGACTCTCTTTATCTAAAGACATGGTTTTCTTTCGTTCGTGACACCCCAATAGAAACAAATGTCATAATATAATAAATTCTGTAAAAAAAAGAGGGGTGTTATAAGTTTGACGTGTCAGTCTGTCTGTCTGTCTGTCTGTGGCAACCTGGAGCCTGAACGGGTGGAGCGATTTCAATTTAGTTTTTTTTGTATTAAAGGTGACTTACGTGCGAGTGTTCTTAGACGAGTTTGACGAAAATCGGTTGAGCCGTTTAGAAGTTATAAGGGGTATGTGGGGGCTAAATGGGGAAGGGCAACCGAAGGTCTGCAAATATACTCGAGTGGGGTCTCAAATGAAACCGCACTGAAAGGGAATGTTAGATTTTTGTCTGAAGTTTTTTTTATGGAATAGGAGAAAAACGACCAGACGGACCATCGGATGGTAAGCGATCAGCGCCGCTTGTGGACACCTGCAACACCAGAGGAGTCACAGGTGCGTTACCGGCCGGCCTTTTAAGAAGGAGTACTCTCGTTTATTGAAGGTTTGAAGGTCGTATCGATTCGGGAATGCCACTGCCGGAAGAGTGCTCATTTAAGTTGTGTTTCGTTTCAGAATTTGGCCTCGCCCCTTCCATCTTCAATCTTAAATCTCGAGGCCAGCAAAGCACTTGTAGCAACTGCTTTGAAAATAAATAACAAAAAAAACAACCGACTTCAAAAGTAAACTAAAAAGCAAAAACTAAATTTACTTTGTTCAAAGTAATACACACTTTCATTTAGTTAAATAGAAAATAATATTTTGTAACTATTTTATAATCTTAAAGTCATATATCCGGTCGAATTGAGAACCTCCTCCTTTTTTTGGAAGTCGGTTAAAAATAACTTTTTTCGAAATATTTTTTTATGACAAAACAAAAATTTATTGGCCGGGTCAGCTGGTTTCTAATTAAATAAATAATTACCAAATACTAAATACATACCAAGTCATGTTTCATATGATAATGGTCCTTCAAATCTTCTGCGTTAGGGAAAGACAGTATACACTTCTCACATCTAAACATAGCATTCGCATATTCTTCTTTCAGCATAGCGTCTTTTCTTTCTTTTAACAACTCATCTGGACTCAACTCGACTTCTCTAAACGCTTCCATTTTCTTTCTCTTTCTTCTTTTCTTCTTAATTCTACCATTTTTTGGTTTATTCGACTTATAAATGATAAGTTTTTCATCGTCTGAGTTGTTGTCTTCTGAGCAGACGCTGAATTCTTCTTTTATGGGTATCTCAGTGTTGTGTGTAGGTATAACTTGGAATGGTTTGTGTGATGTGTTTTGTAGATCAAAGTTAAATATGTCGTGTTTAGTTAGTTTTGGTGTTGGTGTGAGATTCGGTAGGTTCGTATTCTGTGGAGCAAAAAAATATTGGTAAGGCATTATTTTCAATCTTTTAGTAGTATGGAAACGCTCAGAAGGATGGGGTTCTTGAGATAAAACACAAACTTTCACTAATTGAAATTACATTTAAATTGTACTGCAGAAATACAATCGACGGACCTCTCAATAATCTTCGAATTCGAATCTGAATGGCGGACCGGGACAATGTTGCAATGTTCGAAAACTGAATCGATTTATGAATCGGTTTAAAATTATGATAATTATACATCTTCGGGTTTTAAAGGATATTACTATTTAATAGATTAGTGTTTAAAGTTCATAATATTATTAATTAGTTATAAAATTAATGACTGTTACAGTAGTTACTTGAATGATTGAGATCAGATCGGTATCTTTTTTTCTGAAAATGAAACCAAGCTTATTTGTTTTTTCGGCCCCAAAACCTTTTACATTAAAAATTTCTTCGAAATCGTTGGAGCCGTCTTCTAGACCCTGTGAGTATTATATGTATATGTATAGTACCATAAAAATCTGCAACGGCTTTATATAGGGAGGTATTATAGTTTTTAGATTACAATAGTCACAATAGACTGCACGGTTGGCGCGGTGGCTAGGCAACTGGCTGCCGCGCAACGTGTCGCGGGTTCGATTCCCGCACGGAACAACTCTTTGTGTGATCCACAGATTGTTGTTCCGGGTCTGGGTGTGATGTGCTTGTGAAATTGTATGTTTGTAAACGCACCCACGACACAGGAGAAAATCCTAGTGTGGGGCAACGTTTTTTTAAAAAAAAAAAAAAAAAATAAAAAAAAAAAAAAAAAAAAAAAAAAAAAATAGTGAATACATTTCATACTCTGTACTCTCATAATAAAGTTTCTATGGGAATGGAAATGATGTCGCGTGAAACGATAGCGAGGAGATTCGGTATGGATCGACAGAAATAATTTCTCGAAGCACTCCCGGTGGAATAAATGATAGAAGATAAGGCAACTCTAGCCTTATGCTCTACTAGCGACCCGCCCCGGGTTCGCACGGATGCAATGATGATCCTAAATTTCTCTATTATTTAATGGATGTCATTATACATATACACCTTCCTTGTCAATCACTCTATCTATTCAACCTTTTAATCGAGGTTATGTGACAAAAGTAAGACAACAGGTGCGCGAAAGCCGGCGTTGCCTTGGGGTTTAATGAATTAAAAAACTGTGTCAATCATACATAGGGATATAGGGACAGAGAAAACGACTTTGTTTTATACTATTTAAGTAGTGAATAAGCTACCTTATCACATACCTGCATTTTTAATCTAGGTAGAAGTTTTGATCTTACCTGTCTAATAAAATCAAGGAACATGGCGTACGAGGTTCGGACTTTGGTCTTGAATTTTGTAAAGTGTTCTAACTGTGCACTGCACTCCCAACATAACCATATTGGCACACTGTCACCTTGCGATAGCTGGAAAATTGAGAGAAGATGATATACAAGCTTTATAAGTAACATTTAATTATACACTAGCATCCTTATTCCAGACTTACTATAAGTCTGAGACTGTGTTAGTCATTTGTTTTATAACCAAACTAGCTACTCTCACGCGGTTTCACCCGCTGCTCAGCTCCATTTAGTTGTAGCATGATGTTTTATAGCCTATAGGACTCGGGAACATTGTAGCTACCAGTCAGTTAAAGAATTTTGGCAATCCGACCAGCGGTTCATAGATTACCCCCTACATACAAACTTACAAATTTTACCTCTTTATAATATTAGTATAGAAGACTCTTGAACGATTCAACTATTTTACCCTCTTATTTTCTACTTTGTATAGAAAATAACAATAAATACTTTTTGTTTTCCATTTTCTTTATGAATATAAGCAAAAGAATGAGGTTGATATAATTATCATCCTAAAAAATCTGTAGCTCCTATTACATACACATGCTGAACCTTTCCATATCAACATACAATCTTTTTATTGAAATGTTTTTTGAAGGCACACACAGCTGTAATAAAATAATTTTGTCTTAATGTAAGAGTCATCTGTCTGACTGTATCTTTAACATGATTTAGATCGGAATCTCAATATTGGGACTTTTTTTAGGGTGTTACTAGTTTTCTCTCGCCCTGAGTGTGACGAGAGAGAGTGAAGTCTTTAGAAACTACCCCATTTCTTCTCCTGGTTCAGGTCAAGGTAGTGGTTATTGCACTTGACCAACAATCCCGGCAAATTAGTGACGCGTAGGCAACTTACACACTTACACAATTATACACGACACAGTTTACAAATTTTGTACGTGTCAATTTGCGCATATTATTGTTTGTAACATAAATGCACTCAAATTCAAATCAAACAGACAATACTTTAACTTTTATATGTATTGTTAGAGAACCTATAAGTGGAGTTACATTACTTTTAATAATACATTGTGACCTTAAGTCATATGAAACATTTTTCAAACATATACTTACAGTAATTTCATTGATTATTTGTGAAAAAGTCAGTTTCTTCCAGTACTCGACTTGTAATATCATTTTTCGCCCTGCACTGAGGCAACCACAGCACAAATTATTTTCTTCAGATTCCATTTCGAATAGTCAATGTTACACAACAATTAGAAACCTATGTTTCATTCAGAAATGGTAAATAAACATTGAATTATTGAAATAAATAAAATGTTTTGTGCGAAGAACACAAATACGCCATTATTATAAAATTTAAACGTCAAATACGTTTCGTTGTTGTTTATAGAACATTTTCGTGTCTAGTCCAATTATCCAACAAATAAAGAAAGAAAACCCATACATTTACATATTGTTTAATAAAAGTGAATGGAAGCTTTACATATTAATTATATCAAAAAAATAACACCTACATAAAAAAAACGAAAGCAAAATGAAACGTGATTTCAAATGTCATCAACTTAGGTCACTGACATTACGAAACGAATTCTTGATGGTCGATGGTTGAAAACGTTTAGCCGAAATAATTAATTTATTTAAATGAAAATGTCTTCGTTCTTGCATTTAAACATGCAAGAGTATACTTACAAACAAAACGACAGTGAAATGAGTAAATTATGTATTTGCTGCGCTTCACAAAGTCCCGTTTTAATCAACATGAGTACATGTAAACACACAGGATTTTTGACTAATTATTTAAAATTAGAGGTGAGTTTTCAAAACTATGCTTAAATTAAATAACCTATAACTTATTAAATAAGTTTCCAATGCTTTTTGGTTTGATTTAATCGATAAATTTAGTATTCTAAGTATAGGAATGACCTATTGCATTGGCATAGTAATGTGGCCAAGCCATTCCAAGATGGCTGTACCTACTAATGTTTTTTTTTGTTTCTTCATTGAATGCATTTAATTGTTAACCTTTGCTATATGTACAGACAAAATCAAACAGAAATTATATTTGGAGTTTTTATATTGTTTTCGTTTTAATTTTATATATTAACTAGCAACCTGCCCTGGCCTCACATGGGTGAAATGCTGATATAAAAACTCCACCATTACAACCTCTTAAATCACTCTATCTATAAAAAAAACTGCATCAAAACCTGTTGCATGTATTTAAAGATATATGTACAAATAAAGCAACTTTGTTTTATACTATGCAGTGATGAACTTGTTTAAACTCTTTATTTAAATAAAATTCTTTCATTGTTTCAGCTCGACCTGAAAAAGATGTACATGTGTAATCTATGTCATAATCTCCTGAAAAAAATAGAATTATTTAAACAACAAGTTGAGGAAAGTTTTGCTTTACTTCTGGATCAGGTGAGATTATATTTATTTATTTACATATTTTTGAAAAACTCACTCGCCATACACACTGTATTGGCATAATTTTATTTCCAATAGCTCAAACAAGGCATCCAATAATAATAAAGTTTAAGGCAGGACATATTTTTATGGTATAGGTTGGCAAACAAGCAATAGGCGCCACCCAGGGACACCCAGAAGAGTTACCTGTGTGGTGCTAAACTCTTGGAGTTTCGAATATTTAGTGATTGGGATGGGAAAGGACAATGCCTCCGAGGATTCCTCCTACTGTTTTTATGGTATATTTATATGGTAGTAAACAAGCAGGTGATTACCTGATGGTAAGCAAGCATTGCCTTTGAAGTACAGGCTAGACACAATTGCTCTTAGCCTTCTAGTGAAATTTTAAATTAAATAGCTACCATTAATGGCATATTGAGGGGAGACAGATTGGCCTATAGTGTGGGGAACACTACCATTAATCAGCATTTCCATTGTCGTCTATGTTCTGAACAATGTACAATCGGTAAAATTTCATCATAACCCACTGCAAGTTTTTTATTGAAAATGTCGAACGAAATATGTAGCTTTGAATCTGACCTCCCTGAAATGATTTACACACACTAGCATTTTCTCCTTTGGCATGGGTTTTGCAATTTGACATACAACCCTCACCCAGACCAGAAACAACAATTTGTGGATCACTCAAAGTGTTGTTCCGTGTGGGAAAATGTTATTCCCACGACACATTGCAAAGCAGCCAGTTGCCCAGCCTCTCGCGCCGACCTCGCTATCGTAAACTCTTGAATAATTTACTTACTATATTTTTCTTCATATTTACATTCACAGGCTCCAATACTAAAAATAAATAAAGTACATAACCTATTAATCTCGCCGCTGGCATTTACGACCAATTTACCCGATGTAGAAGTTGAAACAGAGATCAAAATAGAACCAATAAACGAAAATATTTCGGAATCGGAGGAACTTAAAAACGAAATTGAATCGTCCGATAACGACACTGAAATACCTTTAGCAGTTTTAAAAAATAACAAAAGAAAAAGAAAGAAAGATGTGCGATACGAAGGAAAGATTAAGACTGTGTTTTTAAGCGAAGATGATTTAAGGATTGAGCGGGAAAAGATGGCTGCCAAAGAGAATTATTTGAAACTGCCCTACAAGTGTGAACTTTGTATTGTCGCGTTTGATCATGAATTAACACTGCAAAGTCACAATGAGGGGAGACATAAGAAGGTAAGTTTAATTCATAGTACTTGCCCGCGACTTTATCCATAAACTTTAATAAATTATACAATTCCTCTTGAATAATTCATCATTATAAATAAACAAAAACAACATCAAAATCTGTTAATCTCTCAGAATCTTAACATTTAATTATTTTATTTGACGTTCTAAAGTGCCTATAGTGGTCTATTAGATATAAATGATTTGACTTTGACAGAGAAACACAATACGGGCGTTAAGGCACGCTGTTTTTCTGTGAGGCCGTGGTATCACTCCGATTGAGCAGGTCGGTTCGTCACTTACCATTGCTCTTCTACGCGTTATCTTCGAAACTCTGTAAAAATAAACCAATAATACTTTGCATGCCCCAGCAATCCATCGAATCGATTAATCAGTGAGACAATCTGTAAAGTAATAACATAATATTTCTCTTACAGGTTAAAAATGGTTTCGAGTGTAATGTCTGTAAGTCTACGCTAAGTACGAAATTTTCATACAAGGAACACGTTCAGAGACATTATAGAAGGTAAATATTGTCATCTATTAATAGTACAATTGTCAAATTTCAACCATAACCCACATGGATGACTGACAGCCGGCAGTAAACTATTAAAGGCAAATTCTACATATCCTACCAGCGTGTAACGTGTTAAAAGCGTTCAAAGGATTCCTTATTTACAAAGAGTTTAGCTACAGTCTCCCGTGCGCTTCACGTGCATAAGATTTCGAACCCGGGCGTGTACCAATGTGAATTTTCCGACTTTCTAAGATTATTTTGACACCACTGACATACGGTTCTAATTATAATAATATATATTATATTTAATTATATTCTCCATGTGAAGAGGCCTTTGCTCAGCAGTGGGCTATATATAGGCTGATGATGATGTTGCTACAATATGCTATTCCTCTTTTGTTCGTTCCAGACTCGAGTGCTTGGTATGCCATAAGCGATACAACCACATGAGCTCAGCTATCCAGCATTATACTGAACAACATTCAACTGATGATACACTGTACTCTTGCAGAAAGTGTGAGTTTACTACAAGGTAAGCTTTCTAAATACTTACACTCATGTGAATTAACTGATAAAAGCTATAGTTTCTAGTCACAACGGGACCTTTATTCATTAGCAACTTGCACGGCGAAGCTCGATTTTACTCACCCCTCAAATAACTATCAGTCACTTCACGTGACGGCTGGGCCAATTTTGGCAGTTTTTTTTTTTGTTATGTTTGCTACTGTCAGAGAAATGTTCTTATGAAAGAAAAGTGAAGGGGAAAATTTTGGGTATAGCGATCCTATTGTCGTCATCAAGATAGTTTCACACCCGTGGGAAGTGAGCGTTGGACAAAAATTTTGCGTTTCTGACGATAGTTATACACAAAAATGACCACTTTTTTGTTCGTTTTTTTTTAGAATGTTTTAGTAAAGCTCCTTTTTGTTTTAGTTCCAACCGCGCCTATCGTTATCATATGGACAAGCATAAGGAGAAACCGTCTTGCAGTATATGTGGCAACCAATTTGTGAACAGTAATGGATTGAAGGTCCATATGTTGTAAGTTAAATTTAGATTTATTACTACTTTTTCGCCGAAGACATAAAAATGTTGTACAAAAATCAAGAAATCCTCCATCCTCCCCTACACATCCACAGAGCACTACAATTCACACAGCCTGGCACGCAAAAGTAGCATGCGATGCGATGTATGTTAGACATTCAGTCTCTTGCTCTTTAGCTTAAATATTACCTCGCAATTTTTTCCTCGCCCTATGTCAGTGGTTTGCAAACTTAGAAAGTAGTAATGTAATTCACTTATGCAATAGTCTTCAAGCATTAGAAGGCGGAGACACAGCCTCCGGTGCCATCATGATTTACTAAATCGTGGCATATTAACTTCAGTAAGAAAGTTAGAAAAAAAGTTGCCTTACACTAGGTTTTTCTTCTGTGTCGTGGGTACGTTTACAAACATGCAAATTCAAGCATCTAACCCTAGTCACGTTGTACAGCAGCTAATTGCCCAGCCACTGCAACAACCGCGCAGATAAAATTAAATACGAACGAATAAAAAAATCTATACTAATACTATAAAGAGGTAAAATTTGTAAGTTTGTGATCCTGAGTGCTATAGGCTATAAAATATCACGCTACGATCAAATGGAGACGAGCAGCGGGTGAAACCGCGCGATAGAAGCTATATTAAATAATCTTAACTTTTACTTTTGATCAATTTAACAGTACAGTACATCAACAATCGTCTCGAAAATACAAATGTGAAGAGTGTAACAAGCAATATAAAGCTCGGTCGGGACTCGAAGCCCACCAGAAGTCGGCTCACGCTACACCGGATACAAGAGCATTCTGCGTTGTATGCAAAACTTATTACAGAAACCGGCAAAGTTTGGTACATCATATGAATACACATTCTAAACACGTCGGCGAGGGTGATAAGCGGTGAGTTCGGTTTTGTTTCACATGATTTTAGTCTTAAAGAAGAAGAAAAACTACACGGGAACTCTCAGTCACACGGCGACCGGTGTTGTTGTTTCACGCTGGTTTTTGAGTGGCCGTGGTCGTGGTATCACTCTAGTCGCGCTGACTCATTCGTTCCGAAGCATGGCTCTCCCACACTTAAATGTACCCATTTAATGATTCAGCGATCAGCAGGATATCGAGCTAAGCATTATTTAAAGAAGCTAGAAGATCAGAATATTAGCCTCGAACGTTACCCACATTATTAACGTAAGCGAAATTCAAATTTTTGTAGATGGCGCTCCGCAGTTTCTTTATACCATGGAACATAGGCGTATGTAATAAAGAAATTCAAAGATTAAAAGGTTTTATTGTAATTTTATTATGTTACAGATTCATTTGCGATGAATGCGGTGCGAAATTTTTAACGAAAAGCAGTTTGCAAGTACACATAAATTGGGAGCATTTGAAAATACATACACATAGTTGCACTAAATGTACTAAGGTAAGTCTGTGACTCAACGATGTACCTACCTACTTGTAATGTTTTTTTTGTACATTAACCATCGTTGGGGAGTCGAAAATTCATTAACAATAATGACTTAGTAACGTAAATTAACAAACAAAAACTCTACTAGTTAGTTTTAGTTTATGACGGAGCTCATATCATATGACTAGTTTACCCGCCCATCGCGCCATCTGTCGGCGATGGCTTGCGTTTGTTTCCTTAGTGAAAGCTGCAACGGAGTGTAATTACGAAAAAAAAGAAATTAAGTAGGTACAATCGAAGAATTCATAATATGACAGTTATTATCGGCCCAGATTTTTTTTCTTATTCTGATCATAGGTCATCATTCTAATTTGCCGATTGTACATTGTACAAGTTGACTGGACAATCTCTTTACATGAGCTGCTGTTTACATGTGAACATTAGCTCATGTCGATACCTAAGTACGTGTGTCGCCTGGACAGTCACCGCTACCATCAGTTGACTGGACAATCTCTTTACATGAGCTGCTGTTTACATGTGAACATTAGCTCATGACGATACCTAAGTACGTGTGTCGCCTGGACAGTCACCGCTACCATCAGTTGACTGGACAATCACTTTACATGTACTTATTGTTGCAGGTATTCAAGAACAATTACTTGTTGAATCGACACGTGTCCTTTGTGCATAACAAGAAAAGACCGCCGAGGAATAAAATATGTGATTATTGTGGGAGAGCGTTCACTGTGAGTATATTTTATGTAAGAAAATATCAAACACCGAACCTCACCGAAAGTGTTCTGCAGAGATACATACATTCAATGTTTGAGAGCTGTCTTTCCCAAAGTGGGGGGTAACGCAACGCCTTAAGAGGGCAGCAGAACAGCCATAAAAACAATGAGGAGTTGTAGAGGCGATTTTATAAGATAGGTGCCACTGTAAGCGCGGGTCTGCGGACGGCGAGTAAGGGTAGATCGCCGCCCGACCAGAAGCAGACCCGAGCGTACGGCGCGTAGCGTTCCGCGCGCGCCTCAAAGAGCCAATAGACCACTACAGACGGAGCCCTATAGGGCTGATGTTCAGCCGGGGTTGCGGGGTAAGTGCAATGAGGCACCGCGGCCTCGGCCCAGAGCAGGAGAAAAAACGGGGGATTTTTAGTCAGTAAGAGTCTGACACTTCCTCGCGCCTCATCCTGGGCGGGAGAAGTCAAACAAAAAAAAGTCTGTCAAAAAAAGGTACCTTTTTCTTGGCCAAGAGCGGGAAAGAGTGTCAGACTTACTGACTACAAAGCACTCTGTTCAATTTAATTAAATTATGGCGCTTGCATCCGCTACCCCAGCTGAAACTTACGTTGACTTATAAACCGACAAATCACAACACAACGTGTTGAGAGTCATGCGTCGGCACGAACACAGATTGGTCGATTCGACCGGAGTGATGCCACGGCCTCACAGAAAACCTGCGTGAAACAACAATAGCGTTGTAATTCGCCGTGTGAGTGAGGTTAACGGAGGCCCGATCCTTTTCCCTCCCTTAATTCTCTAAATCCCTAATCCGCAAATGGTCGGTGACGCACTTGTAACTCTTCCATTGCTGCGGGTGTCCATGGGCAGCGCTGATTGCTTACCATCAGGTAATCCGTCAGCCCGTTTGCCGCCCTATCACATAAAAAATAAACAATAACGTCTCATTTGTTACCTGACTATAATACTAGTTATCATTTTTTCTCTATTTCAGACTCAAACGATTCTACGATCTCATATAAGGACGCACACGGGTGAACGACCTCTTCAATGTACTCATTGCACAGCGACATTCGCCCATCCCGCCGCCTTGTATACGCACAATAAATTACTGCATTCTGGAAATAAATAGAAATATTTGCCACCAACCCCTTTTTGTGGGAACAACTGGAAAGACGAAGACCGGGTGACAAGAGCCTCAAGAATGGGAGAGCCATCAGCCATGACTCGGCACGAATGGGTCGGCTCGATCGAAGTGATACCACGGCCTCACAGTAAACCGTTGTGTAACAACCACAGCGTTGTGTTTCGCCGTGTGAGTGAGGTTACGAAAGCCGCCCCATCATCAATCTTCAAATTCCCTATCCTTTTATTTAGTGCGGGGAAATATTTCTCCCGCCTAGACTAAAAACACTCCCGTTCCTTCTCCTGCTCTAGCTTCGCTCGGGGCCATATTATCCTTCTGACCCCGGCCTTATCCTTAAATTCCTAATGACCCACAAGAGGCCGACAACGCATTTGTAGTGGCGCCGATTTCTTATCATCAGACAATCCGTCTGCTCGTTTGCCGAGATCTTCTATAAAAATAGTGCTCTCTGGTAACCTGATCTTTCTTAAACTGCGATCTCCCGAATACCAAGTGTCCGATTCCCTCTTACGCTGTGGTGGCTCGTCTACGTAATACATTCTTTAAGACGATGGTGAGGCCTTGTATGTAAATATAAGATTGATATAAAAAAAAAATACATAAATTTTGACTAAATAGAGGGCGTTGCTGTCGATTTATGCCTTATCGATCTAAAAGCTGTATTATTTGAAGATTAATAAATATTAAGTAAAATTTAATTGTTTCATTTAAGTACTCAAAACAAATATTTAAAGTATTCTACTGTAGCCACATTTATCGCACAACATTAAAAATAGCACCAATCACGTGCAAGATTCTACATCGCGCAAGTGAAGTTTACACGCTAATAAACACCTATAGAAAATCCCGACAATAACCGTCGGGCAGCAGCCCACCAGGATCCTCCCTTTTCAATGGAGTATGAGGAACTTTCCACTCTGTTCCTCATACCTCCAAACTACAAATATTGTTTTTCACTTGTATATAGGTAGAGTTTGATACCCAAGTACAAAAATATATACTAATTTTAAATTAACTAAAAATCTCTGTCACGCCGCGTCCGCTCAGTAGGCTGCGCGACGTCGCCGCGTCCGCGCACGCTGCTCATGAGGAAGAACCCCTCTGTGGTTCGAAACTAGTAGAGCTTTTCTCAATATTTACACGTGAGCATAGCTGGGCATTAACTCGTTAATCCGTTAATCGTTAATTAACGAAGTTAACATTTTGATTAACGGATTAACTTTTAAGTTAACTTATAAAAATGTTAACGGACATGTTAACTTCCGTTAATTTTGCAGAAGTCCGTTAATCGTTAATCCAATGCCTACTATTTATCGCACGGGTCCGTGGATGGATGGACATGAAATCAAAAAACTTGTTCAACGATGCTGCATTCCTCGGGGAACAGATATTTATAAATCTATTTATTAAATACAATACTGCTATACCCTCAAGCGCTGCAGTAGAACGTTTGTTTTCCACGGGTAAAGATATTTTAACACCAAAGCGAGCCTCGCTTTCAGACGAGAACTTCAACATGTTAATGTTTATGAAGGGGAATATGCACCTTATGTCCGACGATTAAATTACACATTTATTTGAATCATACAAGTATTTTGTTTTGTTCTTAACCTATTAACTTCCAGAATCTAAACCAACCAACAGGTTTTATAAGTTCACTAACGCAACGTTATAAAAATGCAACTTTACACATAGTTAACGGATTAACGATTAACTTTAACTTGCGTTAATTCTTCCGAAATGTAACGCTTTAACGTTTAACGAAGCTAACTTTTTTTGTAGCGGATTAACGAAGTTAACTATTTCATTAACGGTGCCCAGCTATGCACGTGAGTAACCTGCGATTTTTAGTTAATTTAGTATGTCTCACGATAGTTATTATAAAAATATACTAATTTTATTATGGTTTAGGTGACTAACTAAAAGTTACACACTAGAATAACATCTTGGTACTATATATCATTTATATTTAAGAATTCGTAAAAAACACACAAACATAATTTAAATTTGATTAGATACTTGCTTAGTTACTTGAAAATGTTCAGTAAAAAATCTAAACTAGCCGAGTCACGACGGAGCCTCTAGTTATCGTAGCGGTTCCGGCGATATTTTGGTGCAATGGTTAGCGCCATCTCTTAGTTAATTAGGTTGATAATTTATACAAACTAAATGGGTTATGTATGTATAATTATGATATTTTTTTTGGTGGTAATTTTGGATTGCGTAAATTACGATTTTAATAATTCTTTTTTTTATTTTAACGCAGATAAGTTCACAATAAAAAAAAAATACAAAAGCAGTTATAAAAATACTTGCATAATTATATACGGTTAAATTATTTAAAAACAATATTTCAAAAACTTTTTAACCCATCGAGTTCAAAATAATTTTCCTACAAAAATATATTTTATATTGATTATTTCTATTATATTTTCTAAACTTATGGTTTAAAAGATAGAGGGGGGAGGCATTTCTTACACTCTAGAGACTTTTGGATTTCCGAAAAAACTTACATTATATAAAATGATTTGAGTGAACCCCTATTCACTTTTAGATACCTTGGGTTAAAAAATGACTCCCTCCTTTACGTGTATTTTTTAAATTTTTTGTTTCGTCATGTATTTTATACAAGTCGTTGGCGTGATTTATTAACATATTGATTCAAAATTTCAGCTTTCTAGTGCTAACGGTCACTGAGATTATCCGTGGACGGACATATATTCAAACAGCCATGGCGAAACTATAAGGGCTCCTAGGAAGGTAACTACGGAACCCTAAAAAGCTATAGTATCATATGTTTTTACCAAAAGACCTTTATTTAAGGACGTGGCATACGTACGAAAAAAAATGTCTATAGCTACGGCCGGCAGCCAAAAAATGGCCGCCATTACAAAGGAAGCACATAACCAATCAAAACCAAAAGGTATCGATGTTGATATCAGTATTATAGGGATTATATAAAAAAATAACTAAAACGTAAATCGGCAGTTAAAGTACCTCGTGTCTGCACGTCCATACACTCTCTAGAACATCCTTTAATGCTATAATAATTATAGCAATAAGGCTGATAATATGAATATTATGTGCTAAGACCACAAAAATTAAGGAATTGTAACACTAAGTCAAAAGTTTAATCTGATTATCCAAAGCTAAGTGCCGTAACAGAAGTACCAGACAACGACAAGCAGCTTTTTAATGCTCTTCAGTGTTTTAAATACGCAAATAGAAAAAAACTTACTTTGATATTAGTACTAATGTAATTATTTTGTTAGATTACCCAAAAATAAATAATACACCAAAAGAAATGTCGATAGCGATGTCCTGATGTCGATATCGATACATTTTGGTTTTGATCCTTCCCTTCCAATGGCGACCATATTTAGGCTGCTACACGGCCGTAGGTATGCACGTTTTTTTCATAGGTATGCCACATACATTTAATGTCTTTGGTCTATTAACTTGGCTGTCATTGTCAAAGTACGAAATCAACCTGTCAAAATAGTAGCTTGGACGATTGGTCAAAGAGTGGATGTTTACGAAAACATTGTAATTACAACGAAAATATCCAATTTATCTACTGAAATGGAAGCTAAAGTTGAATGTGAACGTGTATTGGTGTTATGCTACGGTTGTTTGAGCGCGGACAGAAAGATTTCATGTGTAACTGGACGGATAAAGACACTGTTTACAAAATTACGGGGCGACAGGAAGAACGAAAATGTATGTTTTTTGCCGATTTTCATTTGTTACAGGCTGTTATTTATGTTGGTATTTTGCATTAGTTGTTGCTATAGGTTATATTGATGATAATAGAAAGAAAGGGTCAGTGGGTCGTCTTAGGGGCGGAGTTAAAGAAAGAAAGAAAAACCATTTATTTTGCGCAGAACACACATGAACTTACAAACTACAAAAAAAAGACAACGCTGTAACTGTACTACTCTACAAGTACAAAACTTCTAATTTGCTTTGTCTTTGGATAAACACTTCTAGAAACTACACTTAATAATAGAAGGCATGGGGCGACGACAGATTAGAATACATTTATACTATGGGTTGCGTGTAGGGTTGCCAGGTCGCTAGGCCTTCTAGCCGGACAGACCAGCCCGTTAAGCCGGACATTTGGCTAAAAAGGCCGGACACCCTGCATTCTTAAGGGTTTTGTATCTCGGTATTAATAGGTGCGACAAGATTTAATGTAAATCAAGCATTTTTTATTATTGTCATAAATCTTGTTGAATTCTTATGAAATAGTAAGTCTAAGTCTTTGCTTCGCTCCAGCCATGTTCGGTGTTTCGTTTCACTTGTTTGCGATTGTGAAAAGTTTAGGTAAAAAGCCTAACAAAAGCCGGACAGGCCGGACACCGATTATTTTGGCCGGACTAGCAATCAAAAAGCCTAACTATGTCCGGCTTTATCCGGACGCCTGGCAACGCTAGTTGCGTGGCTAGTGCTTGCGGTATCGCAACTTCATCCTAGAGCAGGAAAAGGAGTGGGGGTTTAGAGAAGTCGTGGGATGATTTTCCCCTTACAAAGAAAAGACCATCGCCTCTTCACGCAGGTGTTCTTAACTCTCCATGTACACATTACATAGAGACTAAGCTGCCACAAACTAGCTACTCTCACTGCTGTTTCACCTTCTGCTCGGCTCCATTTGATCGTAGCGTGATGTTTTATAGCCTGTAGCACTCAGGAACATTGTAGCTATCTATCAGTGAAAGACTTTTGGAAATCCAACCAGTGGTTCCAAACATTACTTCCTACATACAAACTTACAAATTTTATCTCTTTATAATACTAGTATAGATAGAAACTTTGATTCTTATTATTAATTAGGCTTCGGGGGTTTGCATGTGTATAAAGTTATATATGTAGCACTCAGGAACATTGTAGCTATCTATCAGTGAATACATTTTGTAAATCCGACCTATGCTTACAAATATAACCCCTACATACAAACTTACTAATTAAACCTCCTTATAATATTCATATAAATTTTGAGGTCACCTTGGGCAGGGTAGTCATAAGGGCTGCAGTTCAGCAGTGAAATATCACAAGTTAATCTTAATAACAACAAATGTATTGAAACCTCCTTTTTAGGAAATCTGTAAAAATATGATTGACTTTATGGAAAAAAGCATTGTTTATTTATATGATGTCTTAATACATTTTTACAGGACAATACAGACATACTTCTATGTTGGGAATGCACAGCATTGTTAAATAAAACGCAACAATTTCAAACTCAGATCAAATCAGCACAACGGCAACTAGCAGATCATCTCCATGGCTATATGAATGATAAGGTAAATAAAAGAAACGTTTGAATGCATTTCTTATATAGATTACTACATGGACTAGCTACTCTCGCACGGTTTTACCCTGTTGGCTCAGCTCTATTTGATTGTAGCGTGATGTTTTACAGCCTATAGCACTCAGGAACATTGTAGCTATCTATCAGTGCAAGAATTTTGGCAATCCGACCAGCAGTTCCAAAGATTACCCCCTAAATACAAACTTACAAACTTACAAATTATACCTCTTTATAATATTAGTATAGATTTAAAGATGGGGGTTTTGAGGATGGAGATTGGAGGAGTGAGGAATGGCGAAACAAAGTCAATACTTTGTTTCGCCGTTCCTCACTCCTCCCTGTGTGTGAAGCAATCTTCATGCTGG